GACTTGTTCTGACTCGACTTTGCCAGCCCCTCAGGGGAGAATGGTCAGCACTGCGGGGGTCTGAGCGGCAGAAGGGAGACTTGAGAGAAGGGTCCTGCCACTCAACAGGCAAGAACCAGCGGTGGCCTAGGATGGGGAAGTGGTGGCTGACATGGAGAAGTGACAGACTCCAGACATGGTTTGGAGGTAAATATCATCAGGATTTGGTAACCATGGCCGCGACCTAGTTCTGGTTCTCCCATTTTCCTTTTAAGTCCTTTTGGATCTGGATCTGCTTTGCAGCCTTCTCTAGTTCCCAGCCACAGATATGCCTGGCTGGCTTGGCGCAGTAGTCGAAAGGTACAAACAACCTAATGTCCAGCAACAGATGAATGGATAAACCAAATGGGGCTCTCAACAATGGAATATTATTCAGCTGCAAGGAATCTGCTGTAACCCGGATGAGTCTTGGAAATGTGATGCCAGGGCCAGAAACCAGACACAAAAGGCCACCTATGACTGTGGGACTCCGGGAGAGGAAATACGCAGACTCAGCAAACCCACAGGCAAGGAGAGCAGTTGCTGGTGGTCAGGAACTGGACAGAGTGAAAGTGACCCTCCTACTTTCTCTGCTAATATCAATTATACAATTGTGTCAGCAACTAGTCACCAGTTACAATTATGCTGATTTTAAAATGGTGAATTTGAGGCCTCCCTGGTGGCGCAAGGGTTAAGATGCAACCTATGAAGCAATCCGCAGCCTCTGCAGCATGAGTTTGATCCCTGGCCAGCCAGGGAGCTACCCACATGGCGCAGCAGACCTCTCCTGACTCGTCTGCTGCTCCCCTCAGCAGTGCACTTCAGTCGATCTGCCTGTTCTGCTCCCCGCTCTGTCTCTGGTGAATCCTCTCACCCTCCACCCCGGCGCCTCTGGCCTGTACCCCAGTTCTTGTATGCATAAATAAATAAATCTTTTTAAAAATATGGTGAATTTATTTTTAGCTGGGACTACATCAAACTGAAAAGCTTCTGTACAGCAAAAGAGACCATAACTAAAGTGAAAAGACACCCTACTAAATGGGAGAAAACATTTGCATACCATACATCTGACAAAGGACTGATATCAAAGATATACAAAGAACTCATGCAACTTTATGACCCAGGGCCTCCCCGGTGGTGCAGCGGTAGAGCGCTGGGTTGCTAAGCTGCCCGCGGCCTCTGCAGCGCCGGTTCGATCCCGGCTGCTCCCCGGCCACCGGAGGAGGGTCCACATGGCGCGCAGACCTCTCCTGCCGCCCGCTGCTCCCTCAGCAGTGTACTTCGGTCCTTCTGCCTGCTCTGCTCCCCGCTCTGGCTCTGGTGAATTCTCTCACCCTCCGCACTTCTGACTGTACCCAGTGCATGTATAAACAAAACAAACAAACAAGCAAACAAACAAATAAAGAAAACATGCCTCTATAAAAAAAAAAAAAAAAAAAAAAAAGAAGGCAACTTTATGACCCAGTAAAAAAGCAGGCAAAGTGACCCAGTGACCCAATAAAAAGGTAGGCAAAAGAACTAAACAGATACTTCTCCAAAGAAGACATTCAAATAACCAGCAGGCACATGAAAAAAATGTTGACCATCACGTATTATTAGAGAAATGCAAATCAAGATCATACAGAGTTACCATCTCCCGCCTTTGCGAACGGCCCACATGGAAAAGCCCAGAAACAACAAGCACTGGTGAGGGTGTGGAGAAAAGGGAGCCCTCCTGCACCGCTGGTTGGAATGCAAACTACTCCAGCCTTTATGGAAAGCAGTATGTATGGAGGTGTCACAAAACATTAAAAATGGATCTGTCATTTGACCCAGTAGCTCCTCCTAGACATGTATCCAAGAAATTAAAAAACACAAATTTGAAAAGAAACACACAACCTGTATCTATTACTATTTATTAGCTAAACTATGACAACAACCTTACTGCCCCAGAACAGATGAGTGAATCAAGGCGACGTGGTACCTATTCACAGCGGAATACTTCTCAGTGATCAAAAAAGATAAACTCATGTCATCCGTGGCGACACAGTTGGAGTTGGAAGGGATTATGCTCAGTGAAGTAAGTCATAAGGAGAAGGTCCTCCCTGGTGGTGCAAGGGGTTAAGACGCAACCTATGAAGTTATCCACAGCCACTGCAGCACAAGTTCAATCCCCCGCCAGGGAGCTGCCCACACGGCGAAGCAGACCTCTCCTGACTCGCCCGCTGCTCCCCTCAGCAGTGTATTTCAGTCCTTCTGCCTGTTCTGTTCCCCACTCTGTCTCTGGTGAATCCTCTCACCCCCTGCACCTCTGGACTGGATCCCAGTTCCTGTATGCATAAATAAATAATTTTTTTTTAAAAAGGAGAAAGATAAATGTTTATGTTGTTTATAAATGTTGTTTAAAAAGATATGTTCCACATATCACTGATATGTGGAATATAAAGTAACTAAATTAATAGTCAGATAATCACAAGCTGAAAAACTAACTCTTAACAGCTGATCACAAAACTGAAGCACCAGAAGGGTGAGGGGCAGGGGAGGGCAAAGAACCAAGAGGGGAGGAAGCTCAATGGTCTTGGTGTGGAATATGGGTGAGTTGGTGGTGGGTGCACTACGGTGGTAATGCCTGAGGGAGTACCCCAATATTACCTCGGTCAAAAAGAAATATGTTAATTAAAAAAATAAAAAGTGAAGGTTGATTTTTTGTTATGTGCGTTTCACCTCAATTTAAGAAAACCAAATGATAGGAAATATGGAATAATTTAAAAAAAAAAAAGCTGGGCTCTTGCTTCCCAATTTTTGTCTCTTTCACCCATCTCAACCCTTGGCTCCAGCCTGAGGGGCTCTGAGAGCCAAGACTCACAACTCTGGGAAATCTCCCCTCCCCTTCCACCTTCCCCATGCCCAAATTTCCATATGCCTGCATTTTCCTTATCTACTGACTACCTAGATTTGAGGAAATTCCAGTTTGCCTTTCCTGTCAGGAGAAATACGACAGCATCAGGTATAGATGGCTCCAGGGGCTCAATTAATAGCTCCATGAACTCAGCTAATAGCAAGATCATCATATCTGTCTCTCCCCACATTTTCCTCTGCACCGGTTCCCCTAGCAGGCGGCTTTAGAATTCAAACACTTTTCTCTACCCTCACTGTCATTATTCTGCCTGCCTACTGCAGTAGCCTCCTCCCTGGTTTCCTAGCCTCTGCTCTCTATAATACATGCCATCCATAGCAGCAGGCAGGATGTTAAACCTTGAGATACATCATGTCCCTCCTCTGGCCAAATACCTCCATCGCTCCTTATTCTTCCTAGAGTATAAGCAAAATCCTCCCTGACATCCACCAGGACCTAAGCAGCCTGGATCTGTCAGCACACTCCAGCCTCATTTGCTGCTATTCTCTTTGTCCACTGGATTCCAACTTCACTGTTTTCCTCCCTATTTTCAAACATTTCTGGGATGGCCCCATCAGGACCTTTGCACTCGCTGTTCCTGCCTCTCTCTGGGATGTCTTCCCTCTCTGTGGCTCCTTCCCTCACTTCTTGCAGGTCTCCCCTCTTAAGAGAGACTTTTCTTTGACTGCTTCCTAACAGGCATCAGCTCTGCAAGTCATCCGATTTGTTTCTTGACTGATTCAGGAGCGGTGCCTGGAACCGTAGGCACTTAGTGAGAGGCCACAGAGTGAGTGGACTTAGGTGATCTCGAGTTGCCCTGTTTCTCTCCTGCCCTCAGACCAGACCCAACAGCAATTGAGTCTTGAGGGTTGGTGGGAAGGAGGCAGCAAGAGCAGAAGGCAAAGAAAGATCCAGGGAGGTGGAACTTTGTTACTTCGAGCAGGACAAAAAGAACAGCATTTCCTATTTGCTGAAAGCACCTACTGTGTGCAATGTCCTTTCTATACTATGGCTGTCTTTATTTCACGGACGAGAAACAGCCTAGAGAAGTGCAGCCGCGACGGCGAGCCTGTTCAACGACAGAACTTTCTGCACTTGGGGCAAGAGGCGGGGTCGCCAGGCATCCTGTACGGTCCTTTACTGACCTTGCCAGCCTGACCCAAGGGTCCTGTATTCACTCCCCCTCCCTTTGGAATTTGGGAGTTACTTTTCAAATTTAGCTGGGCATTCAATGTGCTTCAGCTCTCAATCCCAGCCAGGAAGGAGCTCGGCCCCAGCGCGGGGCTCCGGCGAGGGGTCCCTCCTACGCTTTTTCGCCCCTGGGAGCGCCCGAGCCTCGGGGGTGAGTCCCGGGCCTGGACCAGGGCGCGGGGGAATTCCGGAACCGCAGCGGCCCCTTTAAGCGCGGTTTCTGGAGGGGGCGGGGCCGCGGCGCCGGCCAATCCGGGGCGGGCGGGCCGCGGGGGCGGGGCGGGCCGCGGGGGCGGGGCGGGCGGGCCGGGAAGGGTTAAAGGGGCGCGCCCGCGGGTCGCGCAGGGTCCGGCCGCGCCCGCCTCCTCGCGTCGCCCCCCGCGCCCCGCGGCTGCGCCGGCCGCGCCGCCCGAGACAAAGCGCCGCCGCCGCTGCCGTCGGGCGGGCCCGGGCCATGGTCGGGCGGCCCCCGGCCCCCGCCCGCAGCCCCGCCGCCGCCCCGGGCCGCGGCGCGAGGTAAGGCCGGCCGGCGGGCCCCGCGCGGGCCGGGCCGGGCCGGGGCGCGGGGAGAGCCCGGCGGGCAGGTGCCGGCCGCGTCCCAGCCCGGGGCCGTCTCCCCGCGGCCGCGCCCCGACTCGGCGGGCGCCCCCTCCCCCGCCCACGAGGCCTCGGCCGCGGCCCCGCGCCTCCCCGCCGCCCCGCGAGGAGCTGGGGGCGCCCGCGCGGCGCACAGAGGGGACCCGGCCTCCGCGGCGGCACCGGCCGTCCCGCGCCCCCAGGGCCCCCCGCGGGAGGGGCGGCCGGGACCGGCGCCTTTCGGGGTTCCCGGCGCGCCTTGCCCCGCCGGCCACACCCTCTCCCCCCCACCCCCGTGTGCGCCGCGGGGGGCGCTCGTGGCAGCCGCCGCGAGCTCGGGACCCAGGCATCGGTCCCTTGAAATCGCGCCCAAAGCCCGTGCCTCGGTTTCCCCGGGGCCCGGGTCCCACGCCGGCGGCCCTGCAGAGCTTGCGCTGTTCTGTCCTCTGAGCAGTTGCTTCCCGGTTGCCCTGGACCCGCTGAGCAGTCACAAAAACTGCTCTTCGGGGTTGCTCTAGTCACTCCTTCCCAGAGGGCTGGATATTGGGGTTCGCCTTTGCAGGTGAGACTGTGGAATCCCCACCTTGCAGCAGTGACAGTTCTGATGTGTTTCCCGTGGTTGTCAGTGGGTTTTCCTTCTTTAAGCTCATCGAACCCTCTCGTAGCCAGTTAACAGATGAGGAAATTAAGGCTCAGAAAATTGAAATGACTTTCTCACAGCTCTTCGGCTTGGAGTAGAGGCGACAGCTTGGCTCGGGGAGGGGTCCCCCCCAGCGTCCTGACTGGCTGTGAGCCGTTGAATCAGCAGTGCCCACAGTGGACTCTGAACTTCTTGGCAAACAGCATGAGTGTGGAGGAGATAAGGCAGACCAGGCCTGCACCAGCTGCTTCCTGCCCTGCCCTTTGCTGCTGGGCTGGAGAAGGCAGCTGCGGCAGGCAGAACAGGGTCCTTGCCGGCACCATCCTCGGGCCAGGCTGGCCCTACCTGGGCAGGTAGGGGTGGAGGGCTGCTGAGCCCGAGGGAAGTTGCTTTTCCTCTGGCCTTCATGAAGGAGGGACACCCCAAGATCAGCCTCCCACTTCGGGCGGGTTGCTCGGAGCCTGTGGTTCTGGGCACAGTATTGTGCCCTGGAGCAAGTTACTTAACCTCCGAGGCTGAGTTTCTGCATCTCGGAGTGTGGGTTAGGAATAGACCCCCGACTCTGGGCCTGTTGAGATGACGGATTCGTTCCGCAGGTATCCCAGCACCAGTTACAGGCCGGGCACTGGAATTCAGACAAAAAAGCCTCCCCCCCCCCCAACAAAAACCCACCCTCCTGGAACAGGCAAAAGACTCAAGTGATTTCAGGTTGAGGTGCATGAGAGCGAAGGGGGGGGGTTCTCTTTTATACAAGGTGATCCGGGACCACTTCCGTCCAGTGCTGAAGCTGATACTGCAGGGCGAGGAGTTGCCAGTGGGAAGGGAATTCAGGCAGAGGAACAGCCAGGGCAGAGGCTGTTGGGTGGAATATCCTGTGCGTTTCAGCACCAGCAAGGAATGAGGGTCCCGGAGCCCGGTGAACGGCGGGACAGAGGTTGGGAAGGGAACCTGGAGGCCATGGGAGGGACTGAATTTTATACTGAGAAGTTGGAAGCCATAGGGGGGTTCAGAGTCAAAGAGGGGTGAGACTGAATTTAGTTTTAACAGGATCTCTGTAGCGAGTGGATGTCGGAGGGCCGGGGCCTAGAAGGAGTTACACTCTTACTGAGAAAATGGACAGGAGCCGCCCGGCAAGAGTGGAGAGAGAGGGGCTGGCAAAGAGGCAGGCTGGGGGCCTGGAGGGGGAGGAGGCAGAGGGCAGAGACCAGGCCACTAGTTTGGGTGCGTTCAGAAGGCCCTGAGGGATGACTGGACATATAGGAAGGGGTCCAAGTGCCTAGGGGTGCGTCTGGGGAGGCTGGCAAGGTTGCAGCTGCACCAGCTGCCGTGTGCGAGGTGCAGTGTCTCCTCATCACCACCACCACCACCACCACGACTTAGGGCTGTTCTCCCATTTTACAGATGTGTAGACAGGTCAAGAGAGCTTACAGCTTGCTTGGGGCCACACAGCTGGACACTCCAGGGCTGACATTTGAACCCAGAGAAGACCAGGCTGAGACTGGAGCTGGGCGGACCTGAGCCGGGAAGGGAGTGCTGACCTGAGAGGTAGGCGGGAAGTGGGGGGGAGGGTTTCCTGTAGGAATGGGGCTGGGGCTCACACGGGGGTTGTTGTGGAGTGTGTGTGTGTGGGGGGGGGGTGGAGAATGCATGAGTCCCGTTTCACAGAGAAACTGAGGCTTAGAGAGGGGCTGTCTGTTGCAGTCATGCAGCTCGGAGAGGCAGAGCGGGGATTAAACTTTCTGGCTTTGGCTTGGCTACTGGGTCAGGACAGGCTACTTAATCAAGGGTCATGTTGCCTCTTCCAGGAAGCCTTCCCTGACTACCTAGGCATGTTAGAGGAAGTGGTGAGGAAACTGAGGCTTCCCCTTCACTCTGGGTCAGCTTGCCTGTCTAGGCCCCACTGTGACCACCTGCTGCCTGGAGAGGTACCACCCCACACCTCATTCCTCCTGGTCCCAAGGAAGGCCCCGCCCAGGCAGCAGAATGCAGATTGAGTACCTACTGCATTCCAGGGAGCGTACATACTTTGCCTTTGACAAATGTAACGACTGCCCCAGTTTGAGGGAAGCGGTGGTGTGGAAACAGAAGACAGGTCCTCAAAGTGGTGGTAGAAAACCCCAGGGGAAGGTGTGGCTTTGGGGACTCACATGCCACCTCACAATACTGGCGAGAGGCCAATGTCGCCCCATCATGTACTCCTTGTGGGAAATTTGATAAAATGCCTGTGGCCAAGTGCGTGTTAGAGTCCTCTCCTTTAAACGCATACACAGTGCTTCCCTCCTCTCCCTGTAAGTAAAGGTCAAGCCTTTTCTCTGAATTATTTCACGGCCCTGGCTTCTGCCTGTCTGACTGCACCCCACCTCGCCCTTCTGCACTCTGCTCCGGCCGCCTGGCTGCTCCTCCAGCACACCAGCATGCTCTACCTCAGGGCCTTTGCACGTGCTGTGTCCTCTGCCTGGCACGCTCCTGGGGCTCGCTCTCACCTCCTTCAGGCCTCTGCTCAGATGTCACCTTCTCAATCTTTCCTGACACCCCCCCCATTAAAATCAAACATTCTTTGTGCCCCCAACATTCCTGACCCCCTCCCTGTCTTTTCAACAGCACTGCAGACCATCTGGCAAACATACGTTATCTGTTTACTTGTTCTTGTTAACTGTGCCCCTGCTACTCGAATGTCCGCGCCACGACGACAGGCAGGGGTCCTCATTTGCTGCCCTACTCCTAGTCTCCACAAAGAGCCTCGCACACAGCTGCTACTAAGTGTTTCCTGCACGCAGCCCCTCCAGCCCTCCAGAGTAGGTTCTGTTTGCATCCGCGTTTCATGGCCGGACAAATCAAAGCCGAGTCATGAAACCAGCTGGGAACCGAGGGGGCCGCAGGTCAGCTGGTCCCCTGGTGATGGAACCGCCGCGCCTGACACCAGGCCTGAGTTCGCGCAGCAGCTCTGGGCAACCTGCGTTGACTTGGCAGGTGACTGACCCCTCTGTGCTTTATTTTCCCCTCTGTCCAGTGGGGCAGCGCGAGCCCCCGCCCACTCCATTTGGTGTGAGATTGAGTTCGCGGGTGTGTAGGAAACTCAGCGGGCAGCAGGAGGGCTGGGCCCGTGTCCCGGCGCTGCTCAGGGGAGCGCTGTCGGCTTAGGCAGGCTGCTTCTGCTCTTGAGCCTCAGTGTCCTCCTTTGTGAAACGGGCGTGTTGAGGTGGTGAATGGAGGTGGTTGTGAGGCCCCAGTGGTGCTGAGTGGCCGGTGGCCACATGGATAACTACTGTTCTGGGGTGGGGCAGGCCCTGGTTCCCCACCGCCCCCGGGCCACCATGAAGCTGAACGAGCGCAGCCTGGCCTTCTATGCCACCTGCGACGCCCCGGTGGACAACGCCGGCTTCCTGCACAAGAAGGGCGGCCGGCACGCGGCCTACCAGCGCCGCTGGTTCGTGCTGCGGGGCAACATGCTCTTCTACTTCGAGGACCCGGCCAGCCGCGAGCCCGTGGGCGTCATCATCCTGGAGGGCTGCACCGTGGAGCTGGTGGAGGCCTCCGAGGAGTTCGCCTTCGCTGTGCGTTTCGCGGGGGCCCGCACGCGCACCTACGTGCTGGCTGCTGAGAGCCAGGCCGCCATGGAGGGCTGGGTGAAGGCACTGTCGCGGGCCAGCTTCGACTACCTGCGGCTGGTGGTGCGCGAGCTGGAGCAGCAGCTGGCCGCCATGCGCGTGGGGGGCGGCCGGCCTGTGCCCCGCCGGCCCCCTGGCCCCCCGCCCAAGGAGAACGGCTGCGCCGTCTGGAGCGCCCAGGCCCCCGCAGGCCCCTCTCCTGGCCCGCGACCTGGCCCCGAGCCCCCGCCCCTGCCCCCACGCCGGCGGGCCTCCGTGCCCAACGGGCCGCTGGACAGGGCCTCCTTCAGCGAACTGCACGAGTGGTACGGGCAGGAGGTACGGGCTCTGAGGAGCCAGTGGTTCAGGGGCCAGGCCCAGCCCTGAAGAGGGGAGCTGTCACCTGGCGGGTCTGTGGGACTCCAGCCCCCGCCCCTGCTGACAGCAGGCCGGGGGCTGGTCCCCAGGGGAGTTGTGGGCAGCCTCCCCCCGAGGTTCCTGAGTGGCCTGTTTTCAGGGGACTCGAGGTCTCGAGAAGATGGTAGATTCTGAGAGGTGCTTGGGGACTGTGTGACTCGGAGAAAGCCCTGCTCCGGGGGCACCTGCCCAGTGATTCTCAGGCAAACTCAGGGCTTGGCCGAGCCTTAAGAAGCCTGGAGGCCGCATTGGGAGCTGTAGCCCCAGGTCTGGCCTGCAGGGGCCGGGCTAGACTCACCCAGCCAAAGCCTGTTGCCGGCAACCGGTCTGGCTGGGTTGACTGGGACCTGACCAGCCCTGTGGCCTGGTCCCAGCGGTGCCTGACGGGGCCTGGATGTGCAGAGAGAGGGCTCGCTGTGCCAGCTGCGGCAGGGCCTGACTCCATGTGCTCCGAGCTACCTGCCTGCCTGCCTCCAGGGGCAGCAGGGGCGCAGGTTTTACAGCGTGCTCCCAAGGGCTCCTTATCTGGGGTGAGGCAGGACTTTCCTCAGGCCACAGCCAGGCCTAGAGGGGCTGCTCCTAGCTCAGCTGCTGCTGGCAGAGACCGCTGGCCTCAGGCCATGTCTGGTCCACAGCAGCTCTCCTGACACTCCCTAACCACATCCTTCGTCCCTCCCCAGAGCCAGCGCTTCCACCCAGGCCAGGCCACGCTGAGGCGGGGCCTCTCCAGAGCTGGCCTGACCTGGTGTGGTGCTGGGATGGGCAGTGGTGGCCTGGGCTGACTTTCTAGCAGGTTCTGCTAGGGAGGGTGGACACTCGCTGACTTGCTGCCCAGGAAGGGCACAGGTACGGAGCCAGTGGGGGAAAAGAAGGCCCTACAAAGTGGGGCTTGCCTTTCAGACCCCTCTCCTTCCATCACCACCGCCCCCCCCAGGCTCACAGGCTCAGCCCCTCCCACTCCTGATATTCCAAAGGGGAAAACTTTGCTTCAGGCCAACTACTGTTTTCTGTTCTCACCAAGGTGGCCCTTCTTCATGCAGGGAGAATCTCGGGGGCTGGGACACCCCCCCAGCCCTCAAGCTGGGTCATGTTTACAGTCCTTAGTGCCCCACCCTGGGGATCCCTGAGGACACCTGCACCCCAACCTTTCTTCCCTCAGAGGGTCCCTCTGGTGACAGACAGACTCGGCCCCTTGGAGCTTCTTTAGAGACCCTGGGGCTTGGGGAAGAGTTGGGGGCTGGCTCTTGTCTGCAGCCACATCTCACTGCTGGTTCAGTGGCCTAGGCTTCAGTGTTAATTTAATTTTTAATATTTAGGGTTTTTCCCCCTCGCAGCAAAGCTTGGTGTGCCTACTGCTTCTGTGTCATCTTAGGTCCTGGGAAGGGATGGGTGCCTTGGCTCTGGCTTGGCCAGGGAAGGGGGTAGGCCCTGCCCCCAGGAAGAGGCCTCTGCTGGCACCTCAAGGAGAACCTCGTCCAGTTCTTCTCCCAGCACCAGCGGGCACCTCTTGGGGCTTGGTACGTTCAGTGCCCCTCCCTCCTGAGTCCTGAGTGATGGGGGTAAGGTCTCTTGCCCCTAGACTCTGGGTCTGGGATGGAGGGGAGTATTAGGAGCTGCCTGGAACCAGGCCCGGCCAGACCCAGTGGGCTGGTGGGATGTTGGCTCCAGTTCAGGTACAAGTTTACAAGTTCTAAGGTACAGTGACTGGTGGCCCAGCCCCCGAAGCACAAGAGGGGGGTCAGGCTATGCTCAGACTTGGACCAGAGCGGGAGATGTCGGGCACCCTGGGTGGGGTGTAAAGCCTAAAATAAAAGTCTGTTCAGTCGTGGCTGGTTGTGTTGTTTTTCCTCTTGATCCATGTGCCTGGCAGGGTGGGGGGCAGGCCCCAAGGGGAGTGGCGTCAGTGTGAGGCTCTGCCAGAGGTTCTCCCGGCCACAGACAGGGAACAGGAGTGAGAGGCGCAGACGCCTGCTGAGTGCACACAGCAGACCAGGGATGTGAGCTGCACTTCTGTGAGAGGGGGCGGAACCTTCTGGAGTCATAAAGTGCCTGCTCCGGGGAGAGAAGGCAGGGGAAGGGGATGGCGCGGGCTGAAGCCCTGACAGCTGGGAGGCCCATCTGGGAAGGCAAACGGAAGAGTCAGTGCCTGGTTCTTGTCACTGATCATTTCGTGGAGGCTTTTTGGGGGGCCTGAACTTGGGGGGCTCCAATGCCAGGGCACCAATGCAAGTTCAGAGGGAGCAAGCCTGCTATTGATCAGTCATGTCTGTTGTGAGCACAAGGTAGATGAGGAAGCTCAAGCTGCAGATCATCGAGTCTGTTGGGCTGAGGGGATTCACAGCCAGAAAGCGGCTCGCCCAAGGTCACCCAGGAACACGTGGGATGGTCCCAATGTGAATTCAGCGCCCGGGTCACAGGTTTGCTTTCTAGCCTGGGAAAATCTTGCACATCCTGGAAAATGCGGTGTAGGACGAGCAACCTACTGCCCTTGGTTGGCAGAACGAGATGAAGCCACTCGTGAGCACCCAGCGAGCGCTGAGTAATCCCTTCCACTTTCCCGGGCTGGGCTGCCAGATGGGGCTGGGGAAGTGGCTCCCCGCACAGGCTGAGTCAGCCACCACAGGGCATGGGGGCACAGATGGGGGACCCAGCAGGAGAGCACCCCAAGAGGGAGGATCACAGGTGTGCCCTCACCCGCCTGGCTTTGTAGGGGTGGGCTGTTCAGAGGCCCAGCTGCAAGGGAGAGGGCCGTGCGGCCACCTGCCGACACGTCAGCGCTTCCTTTCCACCAGGGCAGGACTGAACCACCTCACAAGTGTGGCAGAGGAAGTTGTCTTCCCTAGTTTCCGCGGGATACTGTACGTAACTGAGAAGCCACTTGACACGGGATGAGAAGCCCAAGGAGGGCACTTGGCCAGAGGTTAGGGTACATTCATCCACCCTAAATAAGTCCAGTTCAGCCAGCTGTTCTGCCCCCATCTCACTGGCAGGCGTTGGCTAAGCTGTTCAAGGATGGCTGTGTGGCCCAATTTTGAACAATGTGACGGGAATGGAAGGATCTTATTGCTTCTAGAGATACTAGAGCTCTTCAGTGCTTTCTGGGCTTATGTCTGATGCCGGGAGCCGTGGCAGCCATCTTGTGAGCATGAAGCCCGCCACGCTCAGGGAAGTGTTTCCTGCCGCTTTAGCATATACACTTGAAAATATCTCGGAACCGCTGAATCAGTGGACCCAGGAAACTGCCCTAACTCCGGACGTCTGTTCAGTAACCTTGTTTAAAGCTCTGAGAGGGACTTTTTTATTTGCAGCCAGAGGCTTCCTAATGGGTAAGCTTGAGTGACCGCAGCTGCTGCTTCTAAGGAGCATGGCCCTGGGTAATGGCTGAGGGTGGTTGTTGGCTTGAGGGTAAAGGTGAGGGCTAGAGGGGGACCCCCCCCCCACCGTGACAGTCGAGGGGCTGCTATTTCTCATTATTTCCCAGGAAGCCTCTCATCTCGCCTCTTCTGCAAGAGCAAACAAATACTGAGCCTCACGAACTCCCTCCCAGCCCTGCACCTTTTCCCCTGAACAGAAGATCTGTCCCTGCTCCCCGGCTACCTCTGGTGCGGGCAGCCGGCTCCCCCAACTCCTCCCAGGGTCACTTCACACAGACCTCGTTAGGAAAAAGGCCCTGCCTGCCAGGCCAGTTTCTAGAATCATAGCATCTAAAACAAAACTCTTCCACCACAGTAACAGGGCAAATGGCTTACACTTAGTGGCAGGACCCCACTTTCTGATGGCTTTAAAAGGCGGGTCCATGAACTACTTTCTACTTATGGTTTCAAAGTGGTGACCCACTCCTTGCCAAAGGGTCAGGGTTGCCTGGCCTGGCCTGCTTGCGCTTGGGTCCGAGGCCTGGCTTCTTACCAGGTGCAGTCCTCCATGGCCCAGGCCCTGTTATCATGGCGTCTCTAGTGGTGGGTCCAGAATTCTGGGGCAGGGCGCCTCTGGATAGTAGCTCCTTGACAGCAGGGGCCAGGCCTGCCTCCCATGTACCCCTGGGGTCAGGCCCAGAGCTGCCCATCATTGCCACTCCTGCCCCAGCTCTCTCCACCTCTCCGTCCCTGACCACAGCCGCAATGGGCAGGAGCCATTCCCTGGACAAGCCCATCAGGGTCCTGGGAATTTTGAATCGGGGACTAATTTTAAATTGGGGGGCTTTGGAGAGTGAACTAACATCAAGAAAGACTAGGGCAGTGCCGACACCTGGCTGTCCTGCCTTTCGATTTAACAAGGTCTCCCCAAAAGCACTTGCCCATCTTTAAACTGATCCGTTTCTTTGAACCCAACAGCACCTGACTAGGCCAAGACACCAGGAATATTTGCTTCCCACTCTTTCGACAACCTTCTTCCCATGACCTGGCACGCCAACAACGCTAAATTTACTGAACCTATGATGTCTGGTCTTCACCCCAGGGATTTGGGATCAGTAGGTTGGGGCAGAGCCAGGAAAGCTGCATTTTGAGTAGGCGACGAGGGATTGTTGGACCACAGCTGAGGAAATGCTCGTTTAGGGGCTTCCCTGGTGGCGCAAGGGGTTAAGAAGCAGCACTATGAAGCAACCCGCAGCCTCTGCAGCATGAGTTCGATCCTGGCCAGGGAGTAACCCACATGGCGCAGCAGACCTCTCCTGACTCGCCTGCTGCTCCCCTCAGCAGTGTATTTCCGTCAACCCGCCTGTTCTGCTCCCCCCTCTGTCTCTGGTGAATCCTCTCACCCCCTACATTTCTGGCCTGTACCCCAGTTCTTGTATACATAAATCAATCTTTAAAAAAATAAAAAAAGAAATGCTCATTTAACCTTCAAAGATACTCACAAGGCCGTGTGTAACCAGCCTCCAAGATGGCCGCGACGGCCCTGCCTCCTTGTGTCCACAGCCTGGCGCACAGTCCCCTCCTGCACTAAACCAGGCTGCCCGTGTGGCAAGAGAACACTGTGGAGGCCACAGGGGCGCTTCCCAAGCTAGGTTCTAGAAGACACTACGGCCTCTGCCTGGGTCCTTAGCTGCCATGTTGTAAGGACGCTCAAGCAGGCCTGGCGGAGGTCCCATCAGTAGCCAGCACTGCTCGCCAGCCACATGAGAGCCCACCTTGGAGGGGGTCCTCCAGCCCGCCCAACCTTTGGATGACCGCAGCCTTGGCCGACAGCTAACCTGCAAGACCCAGGAACCGGAACTCCTAGTCAAACATCACCAAATTCCTGGCCTGCAGAGATGGCTTTTTGTTTTAAGCCACTAAGCCTTGGTGTCCATAGATGCTATTATGATCACATCCATTTGACACTAAGGAAACGGAGTCTCACGGAAGCGCCCTCTGGCTTCCTGAGCGTGGAGTCTCAAACCCAGGCCAGGCTGAGCTCAAAGCCAGGGCCTTTAACAACTGTGGCCTGGGGGCTGGAGAGGGTCACACACATTAAAAATATCCGCTGCTTTAGCCCAGTCATTGTGGCAGGTGGGGCTACCTACCTGGGGTTAGGCGTGACCTTGGTCAAGGTCATAGAGGTCAGTTCCCTGCCTGGATCCCACGGCTTGGGTTTGAAGGGGGTGACTTCAGCTTCCAGGGACCTGCAAATGGAGCCAGGTTTCCATAGCAACACACACTAAGCCCTGGCTATGGGGAGCTTGGCCTTTAGAATCTCTCATGGTCACCGATCAGCCAGGTGAGGTCTGGCTTGGTCATTCACGAGGAGGTGATGGGAGGCAGCTCACCTTTCCCCATGTTCTTGTCCTTGTCCCATATCTTGCCTGCTATTTCTCCTGTCCGCCTCTCCCGCTTTTCTTCTAACTCCCATTGGCTTTCAGGTGTCAGCAGAGATGCCTCCTCCAGGAAGCCTTCCTGGACCTCACTACTCGAGCTCTCATGGTCCCCGCTGGAGTCCCCAGTTCAGCTCTGTACTCTGAACTGCCCCTGATCTAAGCCTACCACTTCCTGCCAGGCCCTCCCTGTTTTCCTTCTCATTCCTCCTGGTCGTTCCACTCCCTGCTCTCCTGTGGCCCCTAGTTCAGAACTCTGAATTTCTGTGTTTTTTTCCTGCAGGTCCCTTTCCTACGGGCCTGCAGACAGTGTCAACACCAAAGCTGATGGCCCACATAGAGCTCCGGTGGGCAGAGGCTGGGGTCCCTGCTTCTGCAAGTCCTCAGGTGGGCTGTGTCTGGGTGCTGCTGCCTCCTCACCTCCCCCCATCTACATCATGGGGCCACCCCCTGGGGATTTCAGACTCTGACCTTCTCTGGCGCAACAAATCCAGGGCCCCAAGGGTCTGTTCTTGGCTTTACTTGATTTCTTATAACTACTTTACAAGGAAAGTACCGTTACTATCACCCCCACATTGCAGCTTGGAAAACTGGGGCACAGAGCAGTTTAGGCACTTGCCCAAGGTCACACAGCTTCAGAGGTCGTGCCAGGACCAAAAGCTGGTTTCTCAGCTGACTCCCAGCCTTCTCCCCATGCGCAAATGCCAGGCTGCCTGAATCTCTCCCTTCATGGGCCACCTCAGGACCTTCGGGGCTAATGGGGACCCCGGCCCTTCCTCGCTGCTACCCTGCCCGCTGCCCAGGCCTCCCAGGGGCCCTCCTGCAGGGTTGGGAGTGACAAGTCCTCCTGACCCAGGAGGAGGGTTAGTTCCCACTGCAAGGACCAGCGGAAAAACGGGCAAGGGGAAGCTTTTCCAGAGGAAGAGGAAAGGCCTGTCTTGGGACGCCACGTGGCTTCGGCTCATGGCTGAGTAACGCTTAACGCCGCCTCAGGACACGCAAGTTACTGGTCAAGCCCTCCGGCTTGATGCGGAGAGACCCACCAGCCAGGTGGGGGAACCCAGCCCACTCATCTAGTGAAACCGCGGGGTGCTCATGGGCACTGGCTCTCAGGAGTTTCACACGCGACTGCTCCTCACGACGAAGCCATGAACCCCCATGTATAAGGGGACGAGGCCCTAGTTCTCCAGCTGCGGAAGGGGAGGAGTCGCCGGGCATTTCCCCATAGGAGACTGGGTGGAGGTGGGCACAGCCGTGAGTTGGCTCTCCCAGGGCCCACGGCCACAGATGTGGGGGCGGGGGGTGACCTTGGCTCCTTGGTCCCAGGTCCCAGAGTCTAACCAGCTCATCGCTGCCCTGAGTGGAGAAATGGGTCGCAACCCCTCCATCTTCCTTTGCTGGAATCCACGGCGCACTGGACAACTGAGATGCCCACAGGCCCGGGGCAGGCGGCACAGGGGAGGCAAATCACGGTGGCCTCCAGGGGGCGCCACTCCACAGGCGGCTGGAGCAGGCTGGAAGGCGGGCAGCCAGGCCAGGCTTTGAGGAGAAGCTGGTCAGGACGATTTTTATGTGATGCGGCTTGTAAAACACGCTAAGGGCTCGATCCCACGCCCCAGTCCCCACCCCAGCTCCAGAACAAAGCAACCAGGACACCCAGACATCATCATACAATTCTGTATTGAGCGACGCGTTTACAGAACGTGTTCCTTTTTTCTTTTTTTTTTTAATGTTAAACAAAGTTCATCAATCTCTCATAGAAACGGTTTTGTGGGTTTTTGCTTTGTTTCGACCGTTATGGTGAACCTGACGAAGCTGTTCACGGTCCCCTGGCTTTAAGCACGATGGGATTTCCGTGCTCAGAAGACCATACTAAGTGCTTAATCAAATCCCGCCACCCGAAAGCCAGCCTCAGTTCTCCGAGAAGCGCAGTCTGCGTGTAAGCCCGGGCCCCACTGTGGTGTGGGTTTTGACAGTAAAAAGTGGTGCGTCCCCCCCACAGTTGCCTTAATTGCGACAGGGCGGTGGTGGCTCGAAGATGTTACGTTTGCTCCAGATTTGATGACTCTGAAAATTGGTCACGGTTTCCTATTGTCAAAATATAAAAATACCTTCCTCTGGATAAAAATGTATACAGTGGAAAACTCTTCAATGCATAGCCTGGGTGTGTGGAAAAGGAGGTTTTCCTGCGGGGTTTGCCTTGTCGCTCTTCGAGTGGTGTGGGGCTGCAGCCGGGGCCGGGCAGGCGGGCTGGGGGTTCTGGAAGAGCCCTTGGCTGTTCCCTTCGGTCGCTGGGTTTCGCCTGCCAGTTTCAAGAAGCTGGCTGCATCCTTGAAACCCCTGCCTGCCATCTCTGCCCCTGGCACTGGACTGGCATCGATGAAGGCCATGTTTTCACCGTCATTCTGGATTCAGCTGGGGTGTCACCCAATTCAACCTTCCCTCAGAGAGTTTGGAAAAAAAAACAAAACCGAGAGAGACTCCACAATCAACAGGGCAGTTGATCCTGCCCACCTGGGAACTCTCCCCTTAGAACCACGGTGCTGGAGGAGGGGCTCCTCTGGGATGGGGGTTGTCTTTGCTCCCCAGAGGTCCTGCACCGGGGGGCAGGAGGGCGGGCTGGATCCGGGGAGTCTGCAGACAGGCTGCGTGAACTCCCCCGTCGCGCTTTGCAGACCCGGAGCTGCGGGCAACCCCTGCGACCGCATCGGGGTGGACTGGACAGAGGTGGCGGGACGGGGCGCTGGGGCTCTGGACAGATGACTCCCTTGGTGCTGGGCGCCTGTGCGATGGCCAACGTGATGGCCAACGCGGCTTTCTGAAAACACGCGGTCCTGTCTGCGATGCCCATGCGGGTGCCGGCGGGGGGCGTCCTGCGCCCGGGCCGCGACTCAGGTTGGGCCACGCGGTCACCCTGGCCCGAGCGCCCACCAGCCTGCAGTTGCCTGCCCCCCACGCCTGGCTTTCCAAAGGCTCTGGGAACGCACCTGGTCTGCAGGTGGATGGGTGGACACGTGGCCGCGGGGCCCAGGGCTTCAGGCGATCGGAAGGACGGCGCGGCCCTCGATGCTCTGCGTTCTCAAGGCCGCCCAAGAGCCCCCCAGAGTGAAGCACCCCCAAGGGCATCGAGGCTTTTCATTTAGAGTCTTTCGGACTTTCTCCTTTCGGCACGGTTTCCGGGAGGGCAGTCGCCAAACGCTGTCTCACAGACGTGGGGGAAAAAACCTCGGTTCAAAGGTGATCTAAGTTTTGGTCAATCTTAGAGTGTTTTGTGATGGCTTTGAGCAATTGTCTTCTTTTAATCTCATCTAGTGGCAAAAACGACACAACTTCAGTGTATACTTCGCAACAGTTGTGACAGCATCCTGATTTTATAACTCTCTGTAATATCAAAACAGCATCGGCTGGGAATAAATTCCAAAGGATCCTTTATTAAAATATCTAAAAGAGGTCTATAAATATTTATTTTTCTAAAAGAGTTTGGAGTTTTTGGGTGAAAAGGTGGCGCCCGTGGCTTCTGCTGCTGGAGCGGGGCCAGGCTGGAGGCGGCATGCTGCCCTGGCGAGGGGCACCCCTGCCCTCCAGCGTCGAAGCAGGAGATCACAAGAGAGGGGCCGGCGCAGCGCTGCTGTCCACCCCGGTGGCTCAGTTCCTCCCGCCCTCACCCGGCCTGCCTGGGAGGGAGCGAGGGAGGGGAGGTGGCCACCCAGGGTGCCCCCCGGCCCCTCGCCCGCCTTCAGAACTCCCACTCCAGGGCCTCCTCCCGATTGGCTGCCCGCTCGAGCCGGTAGATGATGCTGTTCAAGTTGGCCATCTTCTCGTGCCGCCGCTGCAAGTTGGGGTTCACCTTGGTGTTGGGGTGCAAGGCCCCGGCTGTGTCGGCAGTGGGGCTGGCACTCGGCACTTTGGCTGGGGGGCCGCCGGGTGGGGATGGGGAGATGGGGGCCGAGGAGGAGGGCACAGGTGACACAGACATCATGAGGCCTGGGGAGGAGGCGGCCGAGGGGGAGTTCAGAGACACCTCCAGGCTGCAGCGTGAGGACTCTGAAGCCGACTTAAAACTTAGAGGGTCTGGGTGTAGCCGCTCCCCCCCCTCGCTCTCCCGGGGGTGCTGTAGCAAGGGGCAGTCTGGGGTGGGCCCACCTGGAAGGAGGAGCCCCGAGGCTGCTTTGGGGAGTCCATCGTTGTTCCCCGGGGGGTCGGGAGGCGGCTCTTTTGGGGAACCCAGGCCTTTATCCAGCTCCCCTGAGTCCTGCGGCTGGCTGCCGGCCTCCTCGGTCTGCTCCTGCTTAATCCGCACTTGGGCCTTCTCCTGGGCGGCCAGGGCTGCGGCGCTCTCCTCAGGGCCCTCGAGAAGCTCCAGTTCTTTCACGGTAGGTTTCTGGTCCTCGACCTCAGAGTCGGGGCTCTTCGGTGTGGGGTCCGGGTGGGAGTGGCTTGGCGGGAGGACTCCAGGACCCCCACTGGAGTCAAGGTCTGGTTCATCCTGGGTCCCCTCCACCAACATCTCCCGGCGCATCCGGGACCTGGGGCAGAGATGGTGGTGAGCAAGGGGCTGGACGGGGGCCCTACCAGCCCAGGACTCAGTCCAGAGAACAGCTCTAGACTCCACCCGCTCCCCTGGGGGTTCATAAGCACTAAACTTCTTCACATGCAGCATCTTGGTAAGTCCATTCAACAACCCTACAAGGTGGGTGCTGTTTGTTATCTGCGCCCCACAGAGGAGGGGACAAGGCTGAGAGATGTTGAGTGACTTGCCCCAAGTCACACAGTCAGTAAGCGGAAGTGTCAGGACTTGAACTCAGGACTGCGGGATTCCAGAGCTCATGAGCTGGACCTGCGTGGTCCCATATAGTAGCCACATGTGGCTGGAAATGTGGCCCGTCTGAATTGAGAAGTGTGATAAGGTGAAAACACCCACCAGATTTTGAAGGCTTAATACAACAAAAAAGTAAATTAATGTTTTTATATTGATTATGTGCTAAAATAGTTATATATATATACATACACATACACAGGGCTAAATAACATACACTATTACAATTACATTTTTTTAATGGCTCCTAGAATATTTTAAATCACCTATGTGACTCGCAATATATTTCTACTGGACAGCACCATCCCACAGGGTCAAACCTGGATCTAGTATGTGGCAACAACTCCTTGCTTCTTCCCTGGAGAGACTCTTATGCATCAGCACAGAAGGCAGCAAGTGTAATTGTCCAGGTCGCCATGGCACATTGGCAGTGCTGCAGCCAGAACCTGGGAACCCTGAATTGCAGTTCAGAACCTGTTCTCTCTCTAGTTGAACAGCCTCTCTGTTGTCAGCACTGTGTTATGTTCAGAGCAGGATGGGGCGGAAATGGGTCTAACCCCATTTAACATTTTCCTAATAGCCAATGAGGTCCAGAGAGATCAAATGACTTGCCCAAGGTCACAGAGCGATAAGGCTTCCTCAGCACCTTCAATGCTATAGCCCGCTGCCCATTTCTATTAATAATAAAGTACATGTTACTAACATATAACACTAACAACTATAAGTTGTAGTTGCAAACATCACAATAACGGGTCTTATATGTCAGGCGCTGGGCCAAACACTTTTTGCAGATTATTTCATTATTTTCCACAATAACCTGATACAGGGATACCAGTCTCATCACCATCACTGAAGAAACAAGGCTTGGAGAGGCACAGGCACCGTCACAGTCAGAGCTAGCAAGCCATGCAGGCAGGCCCAGAACCCAGCAGTTTGGCTACATTCTCCAGCCTCCCCCACTTCCTATCCAAGTCCATCCCAGGATCCTGAGCCCAGAGGGACTGTGAGGGGGTCCTCTGGCTTTCCCAGTCTTCTAGGGGGACTTCATTGTCCCCTAGCTCCCCCTAGAGGGAAGAGGTAATAGGACCAGGGACATCCCTAGTGGGGTTCACTGAGGTGTGATCTGAGGAAATTTGGGATAGCTCAATACTTGAAGTTCTATTACTAGAACTTCCAAACTGCAGATCAAGTATAAATATGAGGCTACTAGTCATTCACACTTTAGTATAAATTAGACCTTTAAATTCTTGACTCCCAAATCTACAGCAGGGCCTTCCTAGTACTTTTTTCTCAAAATATCCTGTTCTTCACACTTCCCAGAACTCACTGCAGTGTGTACTGATGTATTAATACATGATTCTCATTTAACAGTGACCTTCTTCCTGACTGGTCTATAAGAGATGCTAAGAGCAAGGACTTTGTTTTCTCTTTGGTGCCTAGTACACAGTAGGTAGTCAATAAATACTTGTTAAGTGAAACAAATTTCTTCTATAATTACTGCTCTTTCAGAGTTGTTCCTTTTGGGGGTGGAATTCTCTCTGTCCCTTGGTAAAAACTTCCATTCATCTTTCAAAACCCAGTTCAATGTCACCTCTTCTGTAAAGGCTTCCCCAGGGAGAATTCCCCTTTCTCTCAGTCTCTTATTTCTCTCTCTCTCTCTCTCTCTTTTTTAATAGCATTTATTAGGTTGTTGTGGAATTACCCGGTTCAGTTTTAAGTTCCCTAAGGGCAGGGATGATGGCTTGGAACCCTTGTTTCCCCAGAATGTGGCTAACTGTGCATACATGGCAAATATTTGTTGAGTAAACATGTTGAATAATAGTGAATATGCAGTCCTATGGGGAACAAAAGAGGGAGAGGACAACCTCATTACCTCCCAGGCAGGGAAGAAGGATATGAGGCTTTAAGGAGACATGTCATTTGGCCTTTGGCAGGCTCTGGGTCTGAGCCAGAGGACAAGTCCTATTTTACAGCGTGGTTAAGCCTGCAGTTTTTCCATTCGATCCTCAGTCCAGTCTTGTGGGGTATGAGGTTCCTTATGTGTAAAATAGGAATGAGATTCAGAGAGGGAAAGTGACTTGCCCAGGAACACACAGCTAAGGTGGGACTTGAACTCAGGTCTGTGTGAATGCCCATGGCAGGGCCTCGGAGAGAGGAGGCTTCCAGTCTTCCAGGCACCTTCCTTTCTCCCTGGGGAATCGGAGACCTCTCTATCCCTGGAAAGCATGGAAAGACTTTCTTCTCTGGCACCACATTTTCTGCTCAGGAGGTTTGGTGGGGGCACCTCAGACATGGTCCCTGAAATTCCAAGGGCTCTCGGCTGGCTTCAGGAACCCAGTCAATGCCCCAAGCCAACCCTGGGATGGAACTCCCAGGATGCCCAGCCCACTGCAGGCCAGCAACTCTCCACTCTGGGGACCGGTGCGTGGGGACACAACCACAGAAACAGGAATCACCCACTTACCAAGGGGGTGTCACAGGGGCTTCCTTGGGCCTCAGGAGAGGCCCAGGGCTGCAAATCAGCCTCCACCATAAGGCTCAGTGGTTAGTTAGGGTTGCTCAGCCTGTGCCCCAAACACAGTTCCTGCTCCTTTCTCGAAGGCAGACACAGAACGAGCTGGGTGAAGTCATAACAGAGATAGTGACAAGAATCACATCACACGCCACCACAAGCTATGTGCCAGAATTTCACACAAATAGGTCAGCCCGCTTATCCTCTGGATGACACCGCCAAGCAGACCCTGTCATGGTTTGCGTTTTAGAGGGTAGACGACCGAGGCGCAGGGAGGAGAGAGTGGCTTGCCCGGGCTGGCGATGGTGGGAGGCAAATCCAGACAAATCCACGCACCTAGTAATAGCCTCCCCATCTCCCCGAGGCCACGCAGGGCTCCCTCCAGGCCCCAGGACAGGGTGGGGTCCGGCCCAGACCCTTGTCCACCCTACCAGTGGGCACCCCCAGCGGCCTCACCTGTAATTGTGGAACCAGTTGATGACGGTGTTGGTCTTGAGGTTGAGCTGAAAGGAGAGGAGTTCGATGGTCTGCTGGGAGGGGTAGGGCTCCAGCTGATAGGCCTTGCGCAGCGCCTCCTTCTCCTCGGGCGCCAGCACCACGCGGGGCTTCTTGATTTGCAGGAGGCTCAGGTCCTGGGGCTGCAGGCAGGGGCTGGGGCACTCGGAGCGCGTGGCTGGAGACTCACTGTCTGAGCCGGTGCTGATGAGGCCGTACCTGCGCTTCAGGTAGGCTGGGGCAGGCGGGGGCAGGCTGAGAATGCAGCCTCGGCCAGCCCCCCTCATGGCTCTTTGAGCCCCCAAATTAGGAGCCTGCTCCCAGTGGTATCCTTTCCTCCCCCTCACTGCTTTCCTTCCACATCCTTTCAGGCCCTTTACTGATGTTGGCCTGCCCACACCTGTGGGAGGCCGGAGAGTCTACCTGCCCTGAAGCCTGGTTGTAGCGCCCAGGTGTTAAGGGTTTAAGGCCTCAAGCAGAACCCTCTGCAAAATTCTCTTGCTTGTCAGCATTATCACTGAATTTTACTAGTCTTGCTGGCGGTGGGGTCACAATATTACTTTAACCAACCCAGTAATTGCATAAGGTATCTCAACTCCAAATGGTCCAAATGTGATTTAAAAAAAGGCCACTTTAGAATAAAGATGTAAACCAGGCTCATTTAACCCTCCCAGCAATGCCCTGAGGTACATGCTATCATCAGCTCTTTTTTTTGGTGTGTGTTATACATTAAAAAAAAATTATTTTCAGTTTTTATTGAGGTAACATTGGTTTACGACGCTGTATGATTGAGAGGTCTAGAATCACACCTCTTCGGATGTGTGTTACCACACTGTACCCACTGCCAATCAACCCTTATTTTGTGGTTAAGAAGAGACACAGAGAGGGGAAGTCACGTGCCCAAGGGCACACAGCAGAAGTGCAGCCGTTCACAACTGCAGTTGTCTGAGGTCAACAGCTCTCCTTGGCTGCCTCAAGCGCCCCTCACAGCCTGGCTTGACCCTGAACTGCCCAGGTGTCCAGACTACAGTTTTTCAACTCTATCTCATCTTCCAACTCTGTATCTCCTTAAAAAACAGTGTTTTTACGTCCAGAAATCCCTTATGCACAGCCTGAGACTGGGCAGATGCATGGCAAGTCTCAACACCAGCTCACTTTCCCAGGCACGAGAGATACTATGAGATGATGCCAGAGCCTGCGCTCTCCTTGCTCACTCCCACTGGGGAGAATCATCTCTTCCCTTTGCTGGGTCAATTTTGTACTTTGTGGAGTAGACTCTGGGCGATGGGCGAGGACTGGGGATCACAGGGAGAGAGTGTTTTGAAGAATATGCAATTGGGGTCCTCCCTGGTGGCCTAGGGGTTAAGTCTCAGGGCTATCATCACTGTGGCCTGAGTTTGATCCCTGGCCAGGGAGCTACCCATATGGCACAACAGACCTCTCCTGTCTCCCTGCTGCTCCCCTCAGCAGTGTATTTCAATCTGCCTGTTCTGTTCCCCACTCTGTCTCTGGTGAGTCCTCTCACCCCTGTACCTCTGGCCTGCACCCGAGTTATTCTACACAAAACAGAATGTGCAACTGGGGTTGGCAAAAGACCAGAGCAACAACAGGCAGGTGGAGGGAAGCTGAGATGGGAAACTGGGATTGTCACGGGAACAGCATGTTCAGTTACTTTAACTTTCAATATTATAATTGTTTTCATTTATACTGTCTGGTGGGATTGCGATTTCCACCCCACACCAGGCTGAGACGAACACGGGGGCCTGGGTTTATTTGGGCCACAGCTCGCAGGATCCCGGGGTCCCCGGGGCTCACCTTTCTTCTCCAGCTTCTTCATGTCTCTCAGCTTCTCCACGTTCTGGGGGTCGTTCAGCCACAGCTGCATGCGCACGAAGGGCTCCCGCCCCTTCAGGCTCAGCTTGTGCCAGGGCTTGGGCCGGGACAGCAGGTCAGACACAGAGCCCTGCGTCAGCCCCAGGATGCTCTCCCCAAACAGCCGCTGCCCTGGGGACGGGGAGGGCGCCCTGTTACCCCACTGGGCAGAGACGTCTGCTCCCGGGAGACAGGAGCAGCTGAGACACAGGGAAAGCCCTGTGGTGTCTCCTAACCCAGAGGGGAGACCAGACACACGAGTTACCCAGGGAATCTGGGGGGACCTTTCTGCATGAGAGGCATTAGGAGGGTGGTGGAACAAGACAACTGTCAACTGAAATGCTCTCTTTCACATTGAGAGGTTCATCACTCCTAAGGGAGCCCAGAAATTATCTGCAAACTTCGGGAACAAGTTAGTGCCACCTGGCTCGTCTGTTTCCCATTATCACCCGGAGGATCATCTGACAGATTCTATCAAAATTTCAATATACGCATATCTGACCCAGCATTTCCACTCCCTAGAATTTACCCTCCAGCTGTACCTGCCCAAAGGCACAAAGGTACAGACAGGTGGCTTCAGAGCGGCAGGAACTTAGAAACAACCAAAATGCCTGTGAGTTGCGTAGAAATGTGGGGCACCCGTGGTGTGAAACACTTTGCAACAGTGAAAAGAACCAAGAGATACAGCGGGCCTTGTGTGGGAGGCTGTCACAAAGCAGTATGAATTTTTAAAAAGTCAGCTGCAGGGCAGGATGTGTGCAATTTCATTGATACAGGGGAAAAAAAAAAGCAGAAAGGAGGCGTATGAATATTCGCATTTGTGTTTGGAAAGCGTCAAGATGTGGGCCTGCCCTGGATGGAGACACTGCTGTGGCTGGGATTCTCAGAGGCCTGCAGGAAGGAAGTTTTGAAAGCCGTGGGCTAAGGGTTCTAGGTCCCATCAGGCCTGCGGTCACCGCCCCTGGGGACAAGGTCAGACAGACGCCTCACATGGAGCCGACTGCAGGCTGAGCCCACGGTCCCTGGGACTCAGTGCTGGCACCTTCCTCAAGGGGCGTGGGGCCAGCCAGGGCAGGGGCAGCATCCCCCACTCCCGCCGCCCGTACCTAGGTTGTTGTCCGTGAGGACCTCTTTGACTCTCTTGGTGATAGAGTACGTGTCCAACTCGGGGGACATGGCCACGATCTCCTGGATGCCCCCCGAGGCCTGGCTGCCCGAGAACATCTTCCCGCCCAGCGCGGAGCTGGAGCGCCCCTCTGGCTGCTGGTTCTCCTTGCTGCTCTCCAGCGACAGGCTCAAGGGCTCCTGGGAGCTCTTCTCGGGCTCCGTGGGGCTAGGGGGCGGGGACGGCGAGGACCTCGGCTCGGTGGGGCTGGCTGTGGGCACAGAGCAGAGCAGAGGCGGTTACTGTGCTCTGGCTTGGGCACACACGCGGTTGGCTAGCGCGAAGGGGAAGCGTTAACTTGCCAGCACAGCTCCCTGGCAGACGGCACCTTCAGCACCGCGATCAGAGGGGACATCACTGTCACGGGACAGAGCGATACTTGTTACCTCATGATACAGTGAACTGAGGAGGAGGCAGCGTTGCTTCTGTGATATTCCTGCCCAAAGCCAATGGCCCGATTCTAATTACGAGCCTGGAGGGGTGGGGGGTGCTGGCAGATGTCTGTCAGGAACCCTGATGACGCTTGAGAGGTGCACAATGCAGCTCAAAGCTGGGTGCTGGCCTCACAGCCCCAGGTGGTGAGCGGACCACATCTGGGGTCGTGGAGTCGGGCTGACCTGGCCATAGGTGTGTGACGCTTGAGCTGACATGGACACTGCCCCAGCCGCAGGCAGCCTGGAGAGTGAGGGGCAGGGGGCTGGGCCCGGCTGGAGAACAGAGGGTCTTCCAAGGCACCTGCCTCTTGGAAAACTACCTGCACTCACATCCCCACCCAAAGGGTCAGGTTTCCAGCCAGAGAGGGAGCGGGATGAGGAAGGAGAGGGAGATAAACCCCGAGGTTGTGCCTGAAACCAGCCCCCGCATGCCCTGACCACGCTGGTTTCCAGGCCCTGCTCACAAACTCACTGGAAGATGCAGAACCTGGCTCTGTGGGGAGGGAGATGCTGATGGCCGAGGGCTGGGCGGTCAGGCCTGGTGAGGCCCGAGCAGGAGCGCTGCGCAGCGGGGCTGAGGGAGAAGGGAGCAAGGAGCAGGGTGACAAATGGGTCCGAGTTTGCCCCGATTTTCCTGGTTTTAGTACAGGAAGCCCTAGGGCCACTTCTCAGTCCTGGGCCAGAGGGAGAGCGAGGTGGTGAGGGGGAGAGAGAGCAGAAGTGAAGATGGTGGGGGTGGAGCCGAGGGGCGGGACAGGGAGAGACGGAAGGGGGCAGAGACAGAGCAAGGAAGACAAAGGTGGGAAGCGATAGAGACAAAGTCTGAGATAAAGATGGGGAGAGAGATGGGGCCTCGGGGAGATAGAAAGACCCGTTTTTAGGGTGCAGGGCTTCTTCAACTGCTTGAGAATTCTGAGAAGCCTCAGGCAGAAGTGCCTGGAATACGGATGCCCACTACCGAGGGCATCACTGATGAGGTTGGCTAATGAGGGACTTGGCAGGCAGCTGGCGCAGGGGAGGGCACGCTTCAGCACCCTCCCCCGGCATCCGGCTCATCCCCAACCCGGCAGGCAGCGGGCTTCCTGCCCTGGCTGGCTGCCCAGGGAGGAGGGGCAGAGGACAAATGCAGAGGCAGGTCCAGACCCACCCCCACTGCCGACTTTGAGGAGCTGGTGGGCAATGGATTTGCTTCCCAGCCTCTAGGCTTAGGAAAAGTGGGGGCTGGGGGCCTCCGCTACTTCCAGGCCCTCAGCTACTACTCACATCTCGGCTTCCACAAACCTGGCACTCTGGTCTGTAGTGAGCGGGGGACAAGGTGTGTCTGCCGCTGCACATTATGTTCCTGGTACTATTGCTGTTGATGCCTGATCTGGTTTGTTTATGAGGCTTGGTTTCATCTACACAGACTGCACTTTGCAGATGGGTAAACTGAGGCTGAGCTGAGGTCTCGAGGGACCACCTTGTTGGGACTTTCTCTGGCATCAGTGGGCAGCGTGCTGTTCTCTCCTGAGAGCCGTGCCCCCTCATCCCAATGCAGGGCCTGTGTGGGCACCTCAATAGACCTGCCTGCTGTTGGGGAGGAGCTTGGGTTCCCTAGAGCCCCCCCACAACACTTCCCTCCTCCCCCGGACACTTCCACTCTTGGACTTTGACTTGGGGCAACTCTGAGCCTCAGGTTCCTTCCTCATCCAGGCAAAATTCAGACTCCACGCTGCCTGTGCACCATTAACGAGTGGCCCCAGCTGTCCAAGGCACTGTGTTGAGCATTCTGGGCTGCTGGGTGGCTGGGAAAAGATCGGGATTCTCCGCTGGGGAGTGGAGGGTGGGACTCCACATGTATTTTCTTCTCTTGTTCTAGGCACCCTGACGCCACCTAGAGGTTTGAAAGTAGCACTAGCTGTACCCCACTTGCTGAAGGAAGGATGAGGGGGAGCAGGCAGACCAGCCAGGAGCACAGTGCAGTCTTCCAGGGGAGCAATAATGTTGGGGGGTGGTGCGGATGGAGAGCGGGGCCGTGAAGCCGGAGGCGTGCGCAATGCCAGGATGGGAGGTGCTGGGTGCTGGCAGCGCTCTGCCTGTCCCCCCAGGGCCCGTCCACACTCACCCTGGGAGGCGCTGGGCGGCTGGCCCACAGCCTGGCCGAGCTGGTCTGAGAGCCACAGCTGCATGCGGATGAAGGGCTCCCGCCCCTTCTGGGTCAGCTTGCTCCATGGCTTGGGCCGGGACAGCATGTCACTCACACTGCCCTGTGACAGGCCCAGCACCTGGGGACGGGGCGGCAGCAGGGGGAGGTCACGAGACCCGGGACATTGGCTATCCCCACCCTTCCTCCCCAGACCCTGGGAGGCCATGCTTCGCTCCTGCTCCCTGGGGGCGAGGCAGCCTTCCTTTGCTCTTGATTTCCCTGGAGCCTGCTGGGGGACCCGCCTGCAGTGCCTTCCCCATACCCCTACATGTGAAAATCCTACCTGGACTTTAAGACCCCTCCTCCAGGAAGCCTTCCTGTGCCTCCCACTGAGGTCACTTCTCCCTCTGCTGGGCTTGCCTGACCCTTTGCCTGCTCCTCTGCTAAAGGCAGGGATGGTCTTAAAAAGGACTTAACTGCTGGGCTGAGCCTCAACCCTTTATTGAAAGGACCGCATTAGGGATGGAAGGGCTGGGAGCAGAGCAGAGGGGCTATTTCCCAGCCAGACAGAAGCGTTTCACGGCTTCAGCGCAGGATGGACCCCAGCCTTGCCCGTGGCCCCGTGCCCGGGAGAGACAGGGGCAGGGTTTCAAGGCCGCCTCAGGCCTGTCCTTGCTCATACTCTTCCTTCCCAACCTCAAACAGTGGGGCTGGGCCTCCCTCCTGGGGCCCATAGGCCCCAAAGCCCCAAGCCTCCCGGGACTCCCCAACCCTGTCTTTACCTTTTCCCCGAAGATCCTCTGGCAGATCCCATTCTTGGCCAGCTTCTCCTTGACCTGGCGTGTCAGCTCTAGCGTGTCCACCTCCCGGTACATGTAGAGCTCATACTGCTCGGGGGTCAGGGGCGGCACGGTGGGCTTCAGTGTGCGGGGCACGTAGGCCGGGTAGTAGGCCAGCCGCCCACCGGCAGCCTCAGGGACGCCCCCCTCAGCCTTGAGCTCGCCCACCCTGGGGGGTTCGTCTTCGCCCCCGGCCCCTTCGTCCTCAGGGGCTGGGGCGGCCTCGTCCCCACGGGGCCAGGCCCGTCCATTGGGCTGGCCGGAGTAGCTGGACGAGGAAGACAGTGAGGGTGAGACGGAGGCGTAGGGCCGGCTGAGCAGGCCGCGGTCCGAGGCCCAGTGGTGGTCAAAGTAGCCAGCGTCGCCGATCTCGGACTTGACCTTCCGGATGATGCTCTGCACGAAGGCAGCGGGGGACAGGACCGTGAGTGACGTCTGCGTGGCACTGCTGCTGGTGCCTCCAGTGCCCACACCGCTGTCCTCCTGCTTGACGTGGGTCAGGGCCCCGTTCTGGCTCCCGGCTGCCAGTGAGGGCCGCTCGGGGGGTGAGGGTGGCACGGAGCGGCCCCGGGGGCCGGCCTCCATCTCCAGCAGGGCCTGCTGCTGTGCCTGCATCTCCCGGCGTGCTTGCTCCAGAATGTTCTTGATGGCATCTTCCGAGGTGCTGGTGGAGGCTGAGCCGTTGGCCATGCTCAGTGGGGCCGTGGAGTTCTTGGGCTCACCTGTGGGGAGGAGACAAGGTGGCTGGGGCCCAGCATCCGGGCATGACCTGAAGAGCAAAGATGTTGGCAGCACAGGATTTAGACCAGGCAAATGACAGAGGCCATCTCTCCCCAACAACTGGGATGGGTTAGGTCAATTACAGTCTTTCCACAGGAGGCTGCCATTAGACCTCAGGTGATTTGACGTGGAGAAATTGCCCAGGAAGTACACTAATGTAAAATAAACACTTCTTTATATGCTTTCATCAACCTCTGCAAGTGTTCAAAGACAAGGAAAACCCCCTACAGCACGTAAGAGGCTTCTTCATCTATTTTAATAGCAAGATGAATGGCATGATCCCAAATACTCACGGACATAAGAATGAATAATAAATAGTGGCATGGGCACACAATGGAATACTATACAGCAGTGAAAAGGAACTCACCAGGTAAAACCATGCATGGATTTAAATAACATACTATTTAGTGAAAAAAAGCAAGTTCCACAAGATGAGACACAGTATAAGCTTCTTTCCTTAGAGTTTTAGAACAAGCAAAAAATAAGCAACCTATTATTTAGGGAAGACATGATCTGTGTGAAAGAAGTCAGACACAAGGGCCACAGAGGGGATGATTTCCATTCATACGAAAGGTCCGGAACAAGAAAACCCAAGGACCCAGAAAGCAGACGGGTGGTTACCAGGGATTAGGGGAGGGAGGAGTAGGGAGTGACTGTTAAATAGGTGTGGGGCCTGCTTTGGGGTTGATGAAAATGTTCCGAAACTCCATAGAGGTGGTGGTTACACAACCAGGAATGTGCTAAAGTCACTGAATTGTGAATTTAAAAGTTAATTTTGTTACATGAATTTTACCTCCACTGAGAAAAAAAAGGCAAGTATGTGGCTATTGTGGCGAGCTAAGAAAACACAAGAAGTTAAGATGAAAACGGAACACCCTCTCATCTCTCTCCCAGAGGCAACCACACAAATCAGCCTCTCAGTCTCACGTATTTCTTTCCGATCTGCTTTCTAACTACAGGCCTGGAATGATGAGAAGTGATTGGTGGAGAGCATCTGGTTAGTCTCCACTTAGCAGCAATAGGTGTGTTTTTTCCTATGAGTAAAAGCTTCTCTCTGCAATGGCTGCTACACCGTGGAAGGGGTGGTTTCCGCTTTGCTCGCTTGATCTCCTCTTGCTGGACACTGAGCTTTCCAGTTTGTGCCTGTTGTAAACTACGGCAAAGGCAGCGCGTGGGCACAGTCTTTGCGCCCATTCTGGACATTCCCATTGATTCCCGGGACCGAATTTCTGAGCTAGCAGCCAGGCCCCTTCACCTCCCATGGGGACCAGCGGCTGCTCTCAGCTCAGCCCACCCTTGCATCAGAGTGCGGGCATTTTTCTCTTGCTGAAACTCTTCACAGCCCCTGCCTGGGCAGCCCCGCAGCCATTTGTGCTACCGCTTCCCTCCTCTGCTGCATTCCTTCCGGCCTTCGGCTGGAGGCCTGAACTGCCAGAGGCACCCGGGGCCTCCTGTGGCCTCTGCATGACTGTGCAGGCTGCCCCACCCTCCGCCAGCCTGCCAGCCTCCGTAGTCTAGTCTCTTTAGTGGGGAGAGGTGGATGTTTCTCGTGGTTCTAGTTACCACAATATCTTGTCTCGTCCACATTTGCAACCTATGTCAAGCACACAACAGGTACTTCATAGGTGTTTACTGAACGATTGTTTCTCTGGCTACAGGAGTGAAGAGGAAATTAATGTGCACACAGTTGGGTGCTGATTATCTGGGTGGGAAGTGCAGCCTTCTAGCAGGGTGAACCTCCCCAGCCCTCCCCTCTCCCCCAGGAACCTGGTCCTTGGAACCTCGGCTCCTGGTCACAGAGGCTTGGGAATCGGACACTTTCTGTGAGTCGCCACCAGGGGGCAACAGACACTGCAAAAATGGAGTTTTAGGAGGTGGAAAGCCAGCAGCCAAGGTCTGGATATGTGCTGCCCTACAAGGTGCTGGGTGCAGGGATGTGACTCAGTCCCTAAGAAGCCCCAGGAAAGGCAGGAGGGAGAGTCACATGAGTAGGGTCATTTGTAACCCAAGCAAATGCAATAACACAGACATAATAATGAAAGAGTTAACTGTCAGGATGGCTTCCCTCTCAGGGAGGGGTGCCTTCTCCATGCCAGGGCGGGAGGCTGAGTACCTGCGGAGCGTTTTTCAGCTTCTAGAGGCCACCTGCTTTCCTCACACAACTTCATTTGATCCTCACACAACCTTAAGAAAGAAGTACGAATGCCGCACTATTTTAAAGATGAGTAAAAGGAGGCACAGGGAACCTAAGTGACTTGTCCATGATCACACAATTAATAAATAGCATAGCCAAAATCTGCAGGCAGACCTTTTTGGCTCCATTTACACCATATATATATATATATATATATATATATATATATATATGGGTAATTATGGAAGCTCTAAGTAGGGGCAGCATGCAGTCTGTATGGATGGGGGTGGGGGGCTTCCCGGAGGAGGTGACTTCTGAGTTTAGCCTAAGTATGAGTAGGAGTTGGCTGGATGAAAGGTATTTGGGGTAAGGATGGCATTAGGGCCACAGGGGACAGCATGGGGGGGGGTGGGCATGACTACACAGTTCGTGTGAGGGGGGTGGAGTCTGAAGATTATAGGGCCTTTAGGTCTTGAGGAGATTGGATTTTATCATGAGGACAGTGGGAAACCATGGGAGGCTTTTGAGTGACATGACCACATGCCTGCTCTAGAAAGATCTGTCTGGCCTCAGGGTGGAGAAGGGGATAGAGTGGGGCCTAGAACACCGGTGGCAAGATCAGTGAAGGGGCTACTGCAACAGTCCCAGCAAGTGATGGTGGTGGCTCGCTCTGCTGGGGGGAGCTGGGCAGGGGAATGGATGAACTTGAAAGAAGACGAGCGTGAGTGATTCTTGGCTGCTGGAGGTGAGGGGCCAGGATTTCTAGCACCACCTGACAGGTTCCAGGGTTTCGTAGGTGGGTTTGCGGAGGGAGGAGGGGGAGCAAGTGAAGACAATAAGTACCGTTGAGTTGGAGATGCCAGTACGGCACCCTGGTGGACAAGCCCAACAGGCAGTCGCCTTGTGGCTCTGGAACTCTGGAAAGGGAGCGATTTGGGTGCTGTTAGAAGAGGAAGAATGTTAGGGGGCCTGAGGGAGCCCCACGTTTGAGGGGCTGATGGTGAAAGTGCAACACGTTGGGCTAAATAATGATCCCCTGAGGAGGTCTAAGGGCCCATCCCTGGGACCGGTGAACATCCTGCTTACGTGGCAAAGGGACTTTGCAGATGCCATGAGTTACGGATCCCGGACTGAGATTATCCAGTAGACCCGACCTGATGACAAAGGTGCTTTTATGAGGGAGGCAGGAAGGAGAGGGAGCGGGAGAGTGTACTGGCACTCGTGCGCGAGTGAGTGTGTGCGCCTGTGTGAGTGCAGTGATGTCGGCCTTGAAGTGGGAGAATGGGGCCACGAGACTAGAAAAGCAGGCGGCCTCCAGAAGCTGAAATATGCAAGGAAAGAACAGTCCTGCCCACAACCTGCCTGAAGCCCTGCGGACTGACTGGGATGCCTGTGGGCAGTGCTGCTTTTTAGCCTGTACATGGCAGCTCTCGGCCACCAGCAGACCCACACGCTGGGAAGGGGTCGGAGACATCTGAGAGGCAGGAGGAAGCCAGGACGGTCTCCTGGGAACAGAGAACTGGAACAGGAGGTAGGAAACCTGCAGCTGGCAGGACTGTGGCTCGGCCTCAGAGTCTGACAAACGCCTGCGGGTGACGAGGAGGGAACACCTTCTGTCAGTCGTGTTATCCTACACAGCCCCCACGCGATATGGCAGGTGAGGCCCAGGAGTGGACGTCGTCCTCTCCTTCAATTGCAGCTCATTTAAATGGAAGAAGCCAAATAGGGCGGGCAGCTCCGGTGCTGGGGACACTGATGTGCTCTTTCCAGGCCCAGACCCCGCTGGACATGGGCTGGGGTCTGCGTGGACTCCGGGGGGACCAGGTCCGCCTGCACCACCACACTCACCCCCCTTCTGCGACTCGATCTCCTTCTTGGCCTGCTCCAGGATGCTCTTGATGGCGTCGTCCGAGCCCGTCTCTGGCGTGCGGATTCTCGGGGTGATGCTGCCTGGGGGGTAAGAAGGCATCTGTTGTGGGGACCTGCCTGTGGGTGCCAGTGCCCGAGCCGAGCCAGCCTCTCCTCCCTGAGACCCGCCTGTGATCGTGGCTGGAAATAATGGCCAGGACAGCGGCAGCACCACCGCGGTGTCCTCAAGCAACTGCTCTGGGCTTTATACTCATTTAATGACCACCACCAACCCGAGGTTGACACATGAAGAAACTGAGGCACAGGGAAGCTAAAGTGTGTTGCCTGAGGTTACTCAGTGGGGGAACAGCAGAGCTGGGACTCGAACTCAGGATTACTCTACAAATCAGATGGGGCAAGGCTGGCGGCCACCAGGTCATCTTACGGATGGGTAAACTGAGGCTTGCTGGTGATCAAGGAGTCCTCCCAGGGCAGGCGCCCCCACCACTGCCACTGTGAGCTGCCCCAGAGGCCAGTAAGCAGGAAGGGGCAGCACAGGCTAAGGGAAAGTTCCCCTTGTTTTTCAGGGAGGGATACTGGAGTACCGGCAGGTCACGTGCTCTGGGGCACCCAGCTGGGGCCGCAGAGCCAGGCCTTGGCCATGAAGGCGCGTCCTGCGCAGGACGGTCTGGGCTCACCTCGCTGCCGCACCTGGATGGTCCGCAGGGCCAGCACGTTCTGCTCGTCTGACAGGAACTGCTTCATCTTGATGAAAGGCTCCTTGCCCTTCACTGTGAGCTTGCGCCAGGCCTTGGGCCGTGCCAGGATCTCGCTGACCGAGCCCTGTGACAGCCCCAGCACGTAGTGGCCGAACACCCGCTGCCCAATGTTGTGCTTCAGCAGCTGCTCCTTCACCTGGAAGGCGATCTCTGCTGTGTCCAGCTGCTCCTCCTCCGCTCCGGGCCCGGCCCCCCCGCCGCCCCCCCCTGGCTCAGGTCCCCCGGGCGGCTCGGGCCCAGGGGCCGGGGTGGCAGGGGCTGTGGGGGGCTTGGCGCCATAGAAAGCTGGGGGGAACACCAGCAGGCTTCCCGCCTCCCCCTTGAAGGCGGCCGGGGGCATCAGGTGCTTGGACAGCAGCGCGTCCCCTGACGCCAGGCTGGGGAAGGGGGACAGCGAGAAAGTCCTCGGGCCGTCAGACCCCAGGCCTGGGCCCAGCAAGGGCTGCCCTGGGCTGGGAGACAGAGGGTCTTCAGGCCCCGGGGGTGGTGGCAGCTGTTGAGGGGACGGGTACGACTGCTCCGTGCCCAGCGAGTCCTTGATGGAATCGTCCTCCGAAGGGTCCTCCTCTAGAACGCGGAGAGACAGAGGAGAGAGGGGAGACGGGGGCAGAGAGGCAGACGATGGGGGAGAGACGCGGAGACAGGAGAGAGACAGAGGTGGGAACAGAGGTGGAGATGACAATGAGAGAAAGAAACCCCACACAGGAGACAGACAGCGAAAGGCAGAAACGCAGAGATGGGGCGGCGGGGGGGGGGGGGGGGGGGGGGGGGGGGAGAGTCGGGGGAGAAAGGGGAGGGGGAGCAGTGCTATAGGCTTCCAGGAGCACTGAGTGCCAACTAGACCCAGCACGTCACCCCGGCAGGCGCTCAGATTATCTGCACCCAGTGGTCAGCCGACCTCCTTGGGCCCCGCATCCTGCCTTGGCCTCTGCATTCTGTGCTCACTGGCTCCACCCCCGTGGCACTGAGAAGCAGGCCCCCTTATTGCCCCACTTTATGGAGAGGAAATAGGCAGCAGAGAGCCTTGGCCAGGGCTGCTCAGGCTAGTGGGGCCACCGGGGAGGAGAGGGCAGTCAGGGGCCAGAGCAAAGGGTGCTGGCCATTCCCAGGGTCTGCTGGAGGTGGGGGGCCGAGGTCAATGTCCTCCTGTCCCCTCTGACCTCTTTCTTGGCTGCTTCCTGGCACAGAGGCCAGGGACCCACCGCAACCTCCACCTGCCCCTAGCCCGAGAGCACCCTCCTCCCCTACCAGGGCTGGTCAGCAGACTGGGCTTTTCCAGAAGGAATTTCTGTGCCGGGAAGAAGGCCTCCTTGGCCAGGAGCAGCGAGTCTTCAGGCTTGGTCATGGCCTGAGGAGACAAGAAACCAGGCTGAGAGAGTGTGGCTGGCAGAAGGCCCTGGGGCCACCTGCCCTGCGGGGGCAGTGGGGAGACACTCACCTGGGGGAGGCCACAGGTGCTGGAGGCCAGCTTCATGGCTTTCAAGATGCTGCCGGGGAAAGTGGGGAGCGTGAGGCAGGTGGATCCCTGGGCTTGAGGTCAGGCAGGCCCGCTCCACCTGCTCATCTTCCTGACAGAACACGGCCCCTGAGCCCGGACCTGATAGAACACTGGGCTCATCCCGACAATGGCTGGCGGTGGCGGGTACGTGAACGGGTCAGGGGTTACCTGACCCACAACCACACTGGCTGGATCAACCTGCCCAACCAGTCACGCTCCTGCGAGGCACAGGTGCTGAGCCCCACTTGGCGCCAGTAGAGAGGAGACAGAGGTACCAAGTCGGGGGTAAGGGCGGGATGAGGAATTTTGCTGAGGGCCCCCTGCTGCCTTCCCAAGAAGACCCGGTCAGGGGAGAAGGGTTGGGGGACATGGCACCCTACCTCAGCTCTGTCTTAATTTCTTCATAGTCAGACTGCGCCTGGAGCTTCTCCTCCAGCTTCTGGAAGGAGCCAGCAGAGGTGATGAGCTGGGCCTTGTCCTCCCCCATGGGCCTCCACCTCCCCCACGGGCCTCCGCCTCCCCCTTGGGCCTCCGCCTCCCCCAGCACCCACCTCGATGGCTTCGGACTTGGCAGTGAGCTGCCGCTCCAGGTCGGCGATCTGGTTCGCCGACGTCTCCTCCAGCTCCTGCAGCGAGTTCTGGAGCAGCTGCACATCCTTCAGCAGCCGCAGGATCTCCCGGTCCTTGGAGGCCAGGGCAGCCTCAAGCCGAGGGCCCGAGCACAGTGCGAAGTTCACTTTATCCTAGGGACAGAGAGAGGTGCTGAGGGGCTGAGAGGCTCGGGATGGGGGGGTGGCCAGGCTGGCTCCCCAACCTGGAATCCCAAGAAAAACAGGAAGCCCATCGGGGGATGGCCCTGGTGCTGTGCTTCGGCGTAACCGCCCATTGGATGGGTAGGGGCTTTCCTCCTCCACCTCTGAGCCTCTGCTCTGGCTGGTCCTGCCAGCCTGAAAGCCTTTCTCTCTTCTAGAAGTGAAACTGGAAGCCCCCCAAATGCCCACCGACAGGAGAATGGACAGACTGTGGCACATGCTTGCAATGGAATACTATACAGCAACAAAAAGGAACAGCCTGCAACTACTTGCCACACAGAACTGATGACTCCTGGATGGATGTCACAGGAAGAGAAAGAAGCCCAACACAGAAGTGTGCGTGTGCTTCCACCAAGATCAGACACAGCCACAGGCCAAATCCACCTATGCCATTAGGACTCAAGGAGTGCTCCCCTTAGGGAATAGCACCTGGATAGGGGCACAAGGGGAACCCCTGTGATCTAGATGCTGGCTCTGAGGCGTGTTCACTTAAAAAACTCAATGTGCTGTGTGCTTATGCACATTTCCCCTTACAGATATTATACTTCAGCAAAAGCATTTGTTGAAAGAAAAAAACAATAAAGTAAGGTAGGGGGTGAGGAGGTGGTGGTGATGGGGTATTCTCAGCCATACACAAGGGTTGGCTTTTTAAATAGGGCACAGACCCTACTCCAGGCTGACCCCAGGCCGGGCAGCAAGAGACACCCAGGCTTAGACCTGATTGCAGCCACAGGCCACGCCAGGGTGGCTCCTTCATCTTCCTAACTTGCCCCTATTCCCCATCCCATAGCTTCGCTTCCCATAGGTTTGAGGAAAAGACCCCTTTGTCCTCAAGATGAAGAGGTTGGTTTTGAGCTCAGTTACAAACGCATCGAAGAAGCGCTGCACAGAAAGCCGCCCATCGCCACCAAGCCCGGCTATTCTTCCATGGAGATAAATGCCAATTAAAACAGGAAGCGGATGCCATTAGCACATTAAATTAATTAGCATCGAGCGCCACTGTTGTGCTCAGAAAAGATCACCCCCCAAACCAGCAAAGTTCCCCATGGCTGATTAGCACAGGCATTTGCTGGGTTCCACGGGGGTTAATTAAGAACCATCGGCAAATTCTCTCTGAGGCATCCGCATGAGCTCCCAGGGTCTCTCCTGCACGGTCGCTGTGTCGAGCAGCTATCTCAGCCCAACGACAGGGACACAGCCTCCTGGGACGCAGGCACAGCCCACCCTGCCCCAGGCCTCATGCTAGCCGTCGCACACAAACCCTCAGGTATCAGGGAGACACGCATCTGGGGCACATCACATTGGGATGGGGATGTGTGTAAGGAGGCCACATGTCCTCATACATGACAAGAACACGCCAATGAGGATAATCATCATTATAATCATAATCAAAATAATAAGTAAGAGTAGCATCAAATATTTGCTGGCCAGAGATTAGCAGCCCGGTGCCATTTTAGATACTTTATTTGCTGTTCTCTCAATAGCCCCATAAGGTAAGTCTAACTTGTATAGATGAGGAAACTGAGGCACAGTTAGATGAAGGATGTAGTCATTTGCCCCAACAGACACATAATCACACTAATACATGTTCTCAGAGACACGTTCCAAAATTTAAGCAGCAAAGGCAGACACACAGGTGCATGAGGGTGTCCGGCTGAACTGAAGGGGATGCTGGCCGCATCAGGTGCACGGATGGTAGTGCAAATGGCCCTGCACACAGCTGTTATTGGGGAAGGATCAGGAGTGTATCCCCCGCTATGCAGAGCACTGGAAAGACGGCAGACCAGTCTCCACAAGGAGCCCAAGCCTTTCTGGGAGGGGCGGGAGGGAGGCTTTGAATCTAAGACAGACTGGGGTGGCTCTGAGTAAAATCTCTGGTAGGGAATGATCCCAGGACCCCAGTGAGGCACCAACCAGGAGGAAAGAGAAAGATGCACCAAGTAACAAGACTTGACACAGGAAGCTCAGGGCCGCTGCCTGGAGATGGGTTCATCACAGCACACGGCTGCTTGGGAAACCCCACTGCTTGGGTATAAGCATTAACCCCAGGCCTTAATATGTGGTTCTACCCGTTGGGGGGGGGGCGGGATGGAGACACCAAGAAGTGCGACCCCCACCGACAACAACGACACCTAGTGGCAGCCATCCAAAACACACTGCTGCTCAAACTCCACCCCCGCCCCCCTTGAGGGCATCTATCCATAGGATGATCTTTGGCCCAGGTAACTCCCTGGCATTCCTGGACATCGGAGGGCACGGAGGCCTCCAAAGGAATATAACAGATGTCCTGTTACACAGGGTGGATGGAAGCTCGGAAAGTTAAGAGTTGTGGCTGTATGTTGACCCCGAGGTGTTGAAGCAAGGAACTGTTTTATACACACTCACCTTGGTGATGAAGAGGCCATATCTGCTGTGTGCACACACGCCCCATTACACAGGAGAGGCCATATCCGCTGTGCGCACACACGCCCCGTTACACAGGAGAGGCCATATCTGCTGTGTGCACACATGCCCCGTTACACAGATGCAGGTGGTCAACCCACCAAATGTCACCCACATATTCATGCCCACAACGTGGTTGTTCTCAACCTTTGTCTCCCCCATGCTTACCCCGCTGGGTCCCTGAGGGGAGCAGCAGGCCAGGCGGATGGAGCTGTTGACAGAGGCGAGTTGTTCACGAAGACTTTCCACCTCCCGCTGGGCAGCCTCAGCTCGCTGGGGAGAATGGGGTGAGTGTGGTTAGGGATGGGTAGAGCTGCAGAGGGGGCCTCAGCGAAGGCTGGGGTCCACCAGGGCTTGGCTGATGGAAGGGGAGACACTCGGGTTAGGCCCGTGGGAATCACTGCTGCTCAGGTGGGATGTGGTTCCTTCATGAGGTCTGGCCGGAAGACCCACGTCCCAGTCGAGCTGGGGGCCCGGCACCTGTGGGCGCTGCTCTCACCCGCCCCCGCCGTCCTGAGCTGGTGGAGGATGCCTCCGCAGGGGCTCCAGGACAGGCTGCCTCTGGTCTCTGCCCTCCACTGCACCAGCTCTCTGTGTTCTCCATTTATTTGCCAGGTCTCAGCCCCACGCCCCCACTGGGAAGGCTTCTCCAGCACTGAGTCGGACAAACACTGACTGAGCTCAGCCCTCCCTCCGGGCCCAGCTGAGATCCCGCCACCGGCAGCGGCGTCTCCTCACCTGATTAGCTTTCTCCAGGTTGGTCATGATCAGGCCGACTTCATCTGCCCTGAGACAGAAAGACAGGGCCCTGAGCAGAGGCTTTTGGCAGTCACCAGGGTGCCTGCCCACCTTGCCACCCCCAGCCTGCTGACCCCCTCAGCCCACGGTCTGTGCATGGTGACTTTGCAACAGGGTGGTCCCCAGGAAAGGGGGAGGTTCCCTGCCCCACCCAAGGGAGGGTGGAGCTGAGCAGGAAGAGGAGAAGCTGAAGAAGAGACTGAGGAAGGAGCAGGATGGAGCCAGGAGACCTGGAGGAGGCGCATGGAGCCTAGAGACATGTGAAGAAACTGCGCTTGTCTTTTGGTCGTGGACTAGGTGACACAGATGTGGGTGAGACCCGTGGGGAGGTGACAATGACAGCTTTTATCTTAATGTTGATTTTGCTCTTTTCCTTCGGGGCTTGTCCGGTTGTTTGTGACCCTTTTCTGTGGGTCCCCACTGGAAGATGCTTTAGACTTGTGGCAGGCTTTGGGGCCTTGTTCTGGGCCGATCCCATTTGGATGGAGTTTTACCCACGAGGGGACGGGTCACTTTGGGTGCTTCACTTAGAAACTAGACTCTTTGCCTTTCCTGTATTGTTTCCTAGTTGTATTAAAGTTCCTTCCCATTAAAGTCTCCTATGTTTTGTGTTGATGCGGCGGATGGCAGAACCCATTTAGAATAGGCAGGGTTGCGGGGTTTTGGGCTGCCCCTCTCCCTGTCCTATAACAACTTCACCCTTCCTATGGGGAGAAACCAGGCTGGGGTGGAAAGAACCCACGCTGTGGGGAAATGGCAAAGGGACCCAGCACTGCATCCCTTCCAGGCAGCCTGGCTTCCATCTCCCCGAGGGGAGCACTCTCTAAAGCTGCCTGCAGAGCGACGCCCCCCCCAGCCTTGGGCCCTGCTCTGCCTGGGACACCCCGAGTTTTAAGACTCAGCTCCAATTGTCTTGCTAGGGAGTCTTTCCCAACTAGCCCCACCCAGACTGCCAGCACTAAGGGTCTCCCCTCTGCCTAGTGTGGGTGGGGTGAGGGCCAGGTGGGGTACAGGAGGGCAGTAGGGAGCATTTGGTGACAGTGAGCTGCACGCACAGGACTGTCTTCTGCACAAGCTGTTTCCACTGCCCAAGGCACCCTGCCTGGTGTTCATGTGGTCATTTACTCATCTTTTGGGTCTCATTCTGCAGGTCACCTCCTCAGGGAAGTCCTCCCTGACTACCAGGATAATTGGACCCAACTCTTGTTACTCTATCTCAGTGCTCCCCATTCTTCCCTTCATGGCCTGTACCCTGTGCCCAAAACAATGCTGGGCAGACAGTAAGGCCTCAAGAGTGTCTGAAGGAATGAATTTATCATTGTGCATTCCCACCTCAGCTGATTAGGACAGGGCTGTGTGTTCCAGGGCTCAGCACAGCACTGGGGTAAACGTGCTGAATAAGTGTTGTGAACTAAGTGACATCTTAAAGTCTAAAGAAAGGTGAGGTCTGGATTGGACTGTGGTGCCAGGGAGCTGGACAGTCGCAGGAGGCTGGGGTGAGGAGGCCCCCGCAGCCTGAGGCCCAGAATGTCCATAGTCTGCGGTGGTGCATGAATGGCAGGCCAGCACAGCAGCGGATGTGCACCGCTGTGCCCATGTGGGTGGGGAGCAAAGGGTACTTAATGGGATGGGCGGCTCCAGCAGAGGGTTAGAGGAAGGCGGGCACAAGGAGGAGGCACGGCTGGAGGGTCAGAGGGGGAGGCACAGCTCAGTAGGACACGCATTTACTTGGATGCCGCTTCCTCATCGTATTTCCGGCGCAGCTCCAGCAGCTCTGTCTGCGTGGCCTTTAACGCTAGGAAAAAGTAAAGAGCCAGAATGAAGACCCGCACACCCAGAAGGTGGAACCCATTCCCAGGCCTGGAAAGCAGAGTGAAGCTCAGATTAGCGAGGAAATGAGAACTGGTGACAAGTAGAGAGTTTCCTTGCCTAGACACATTTCAACCAGTGGGAGGGATGGGGAGTGGCCGGGCCGGAGGGTCGGGGTTGGGGAGTGGGTGGTGGGGAGTATAGAGAACTATGCATCTGTGGAGTAGAGGAGAGCCACGCGAGTTGAAGGGGCTGTCTGTCCCATGTCTGGGGTATGAGTCCTACAACACCTTCAGGATACTCTAGGATCTGGGTAAGGCCTTCTACCCATAAGCTCACCCACCGAGACCTGGCAGGTGAGCGGAACAAGAAGTCAACAAACACAGGTACATTATGAAAAACGAGAGGTTCCTCAGACAATTTCTGATTTCCTAAGGAAAACTGAAGGACCTGGCCTGGATTCTCCGGTTTGCCTCAGACCCCACCCTTCCCTACTGCCTCCCTAATCCGGGCCCTGAGGGCACTCCATTTTCCACCCCTGATTTAATTCTACCTCAGATACTCTCTCCTCAGCCAAATGGCCTCTGGAGACCAGGGGTCAGATCCCCAGTTGGGTAATGTAGGTCCTTCCTCCTCCTGCCCCAAACTCCTTCTTGCCCCTGTGATGCTAGAATACCTGAGCCCAAGTTCATAGTGTCATGGTCCCTTCCACTCCTCTTTCTGGTCTGACTGGGCCAGGAAGGGGACATGAGCCAGATGCATACCTGAATGTAGGACTTTGATCTTCTCCTCCGCCTCCCCCAGTCTGGCTGCCAAAGTGATCTGTACTTCCTGAAGGCCCCTGTGGAGAGACGAGTGCTCACAGGAGATCTGCTCAGGCCTCACTGTGGGGCCTTGCCTGGGCCCTGAACAGACTTTGTACCCTCCCCGCCTCCTGCAGCCCCACCTCTGTCTTCTTAATGGGTCCCTAAGAACATTCGGACACTTGGCTGCCCCACTGTTTTGTGGACCTTGAGACTCCATCATAACTGGCCCCATTTACTTTCTGGCAGCATTTTTGGGGGCACCCAGCAGTCATCAACTTCGTTTCTCAGCCTCAGTTTCTTTGTAAAAGGGATTTTGGAAGGACTGTGCCTCAGTGGGAGCAACTCCTGCTTCCAGCTCCTTCACTGTCAGCTGCTGTTCTGGCCCCCAGGGGAGGAATTTTCTCCCCTCCCTGTGTCAGGACATTGGGGTGACCAGCCCAAGTGAGAGGCAAGTCTCTCAGCCGAGAGAGCGGGGCCAGAGCTGCACTACAGGGGTGTTCAGGCAATGCCTGGGCCTCACAGGCTCTGGGAAGGGAGTACACCTTCACTTGGCACTCATGTCCCGCCCCTCTTGGTCACACTCCCTTCCTGGCACCCCCACACACTGGGCCTGCCTTTGCACGGGCTGTTCCTTCTGCCTGTAAAAAATTCCCCTACAGCCTGGCCAGACTCCCTTTCTCACCTCCTCTGGGCTTTGCTCAGCCTGCCCCATCACCTTACTTAAACCTTAGCTCCTCACAGCCCTGTTTCTTCCCCTATTTTTCTTTATAACTGTCATCTAGCACACCATTTATTTATCTTATTCATTTGTGTCTTTACGCGAAAGTAAGCTCCAGCAGGACAGAGAGTCTAGTCTATTTCATTCACGCCCGTGTCTCTAGAACTGGGCCTGCCACACAGTAGTCGGCTCTGAAAATATGCAGAAGGATGAAGGAGAGAGGAGATGAGCACCATAGTGCCATCCAAGGAGGGCCCCAGAACTCAGCAGCAGCCAATGCAAAGGCTGTCCACTCACTGACACGCACTCCTCCGTATGGGAGTGGAGCTAAGCTGGACAGGCGTCAGCAGGCCAGGCCGCAGGCCAGAAGCTGATACTGCCTGTGATGGTCAGTGTTACAGGCCTGCCCAGTCAGATTCTAGGGCCTAGCTGTCCAGTCACATACTGGCCTAGGCGTTGTTGTGCAGGTGTTCTGAACTGGGGTTGACATCTACAGTCAGCCGACTGTGAGGTAAAGGAACAGTCTCAATCAGGTGGGTGGGCCTCGTCTAATCAGTTGCAGGTCTTTTTTTTTTTTTTTTTTAAAGATTTATTTATTTATTTATACAAGCATTGGGTACAGTCAGAAGCACGGGAGGGTGAGAGAATTCACCAGAGACAGAGTGGGGAACAGAACAGGCAGACTGATGAAATGCACTGCTGAGGGGAGCAGCAGGCACGTCAGGAGAGGTCTGCGCGCCATGTGGGACCCTCGCCAGCGGCTGGGGGATCGAACAAGCACTGCAGAGGCTGCGGGCAGCTTCACAGCCCAGCGTTCAACCGCTGCGCCACCAGGTCTTAAGGCCCCAGTTGCAGGTCTTAAGGCTCAAAGTGAGGAAGAAGAAACTCTGTCTCAGGAGGGCAGTGTAGCCCCCTGCCCGACAGTTTCCGTCTGCTGGCCTGTTTTACTAAGCTGGACTTGCCAGACCTGTCCTTGAAACAGGTCTCTTTATGCATTAAAAAGAAATTCTACTGGTTCTGTTTCTCTGGAGAACCATGTTTAACACACCCCCACTTGACCCACTTTCCAGATGGGGAAACTAGGCACAGAGAAATGAAGTGACCTGTCCAGGGCTGGCCACTGTGCTGCTGAAATAGGGCGGAAATCTGGGTCTGCGCCCAGATACCAAGGGTCCTGGGCAGGGTGATTCTTCCAGCCCCACCTCCCAGCAGAGGGGGCCCGCGGTGACCCCCACTCACTTTTGTTTCTCCACCTCATTTCTCTGCAGCAAAGTTTCTGTCAGGAGGGCTTTGCTGGGAATGCCCGGGAGGCGGCTCCCCTCAGTCAGTGTGGGCCCCGCCGGAGACGGCCCCTCTCTCTGCTCTGGAGGGAGAAAAAGAGCGAGAACCACCGTGGCCTGGCTGAGTACAGCAGACGGTGCGGGAGCACCATCATTTCCCAGGCGCGGGCTGTGGGGACCTGTCACCCCGCCAGCAGGCAGCAGCCATCCACGGGGAAGTCAAGTGCCTGTCCCGCTAGTCCCAGACAGTGTACCTGGGGTCTCCCATACCTCAGGGACCTGTTCCTGCCTCCTTGGCTGCTTATTATCTTTAAGATATCATGGCACATATACATGAGAGAAAACACACCATTATACTTACTGTCTTCACTGTATTGTGCGACCAACGCCACTCCCCCCAGGACACGGCTGCACCCCAAAAGGAAGCCACCCCCCGGACACAGACTCTACTCCCCGTGCCCCCAGCCCCTGGAGCCGCCCCGATCTGCTCTATCTGCCTGCTCTGGACGATTTTCATCACTGAGTCACACGCTGCATGTCGCTCCTTGCCTAGCACCCTCCACCCGGCTGCCGGCATCAGGGCGTCATGGCCGTTCAGGCCGTCACAGCCTGGGGCGTATGGGGCACGGTCACAGTGACCGACCTTGGCTGCACCCTCCACCGGCTGCCACGAGTGGGTTGCTGTGAACATCTGGGGACATGTTTCTATTTGAGTCTCTGTTTTCACTCGTTTGGGGTACACAGCCAGGAGTGGAACTGCTGGGTCTCGGGGTCGCTCTAGGTCTAGCTTACTGAGGTGCTGCTCAGTGCTTTCCCCTCCCTCACATCTCACAGCGGCAACATGACTGAGCTTTGGTCAATGCGATGTAGCTGGCGTGATGACGCCACTTGAGGCCAGGACACTCCCACCCCCACATTCTCGTTCGGTTGGCCGGCTCATGCATTATTTTTTTTTTTAAAGACTTATTTATGCATACAAGAACTGGGGTACAGGCCAGAGGTATGGGGGTGAGAGGATTTACCAGAGACAGAGTGGGGAACAGAACAGGCAGCCTGACTGAAATACACTGCTGAGGGGAGCAGCAGGGAGACAGGAGAGGTCTGCTGCACCATGTGAGTAGCTTCCTGGCCGGGGATTTAACTCGTGCTGCAGTGGCTGCAAACAGCTTCACAGTGCTGTGCTGAACCCCTTGCGCCACCAGGGAGGCCCCGGATAGCATGTGTTATTAAAGATAGAAGGCCCAGCACAGCCTGGGGCCCTGAGTGACTGCATGGAGTGCAGTCCTTCAAGTATACTAGGCCTGTGAGATGTGGGTCAGTTTCGGCAGATGTGTACCTTAACCCATCTGGCTTCTAAAATGGTAAAGTCGAGCTTCCTGGCCCTCTTCCCCGCCACTGAGGAGTCTGGCCACCGAGGACCCACAGCCCATCTGTTCATTATGGGTGTCCCAGTACCTTTGGGGCAGAGGAGCTCGGGGTGCCTCTTCCACGAAGTGTGGAGGTCTCGCCGGGGCTGCCCGCTGGGGTCGAGGCTGGGGGGCTGCAGTCTGTCGTCTAGGCCACGAGCCGCCTCAAACACAGGCACGGGGTCTGCGTGGAGAGAGAGAGGACAGGTGAGGGGGTCGCCCAACCCAGGGAGGGCCTGGTGGATCCCCCTGTGGGACTGCCATCCACAAGGGTGCCTACATGGTTTGGGGGAGCTATTGGCGGGGGGGACAGGTGCAGGTGTCCTGCATAGCAGGGGTGTGTGTGGGGGAATGACAATAAAGGCTGTTGTAAGAACTGTGTTTCCTTGATTCTGCAATACCACCTGTGGCAGTCCTGGGGCACGTCTTGTACACCTCCAGCCACGGGGTGGCCCTGAGCAAGGGCTGCCAGGCACCCTGACAACACCAACTGAGGCAGCCTTCCACGGCCATTCCAGACAGGCCTGTGGCAGTGGGGACCAGGAGCCAAGGGGGACACAGGGGAACCCCCGAGACCTTGCCCAGCACTTTGGCAGGCTGTCCCCCAGCTCCTGCCTCTCTCCATGCTGTGCCGCCCACCCGCTCCCCATTGCATGCTGGCCCCTGTAGCCTCAGGCTGCTTCTCAGAGGCCCTGCATCAGCACGCTATCATTTGCACACATGGTCGAGAAAACCACAGTCCTTCCAGGGGCGAAATACACACCTGGACGTAAGATGCTCCCCCCACCCCCCATGCCCAAACAGCTAAAAGGTGAGACACTTGCAGGTGCTTCTGCCAGGAACTGTTTCCTCTCCTTTCACCTGATGTGCGCGGCCTCCTCCTCCAGACCTAGAGAACCCCAATAACCCCAGATGGCAGGCAGCACCCTCCCGGGGACAAAACCCGGCACGGGAGGGGTTCCTGAGATGCTCCCAGCATCTCCTGCAGGCTGGCTTGGATCCAGCTTGTCTTCACAGAGGGGGAAACTGTGGTTCAGAGAAGCCAGGTGACTTGCTAAAGAGCATAGGTGACACTGGATTCTGGGTCTTTCTCTGACACCACAGAGGCTTCCTGTCCAGTGGTGCGGATATTTCAGCACAGCAGCCACAGACAGGTGCTCATGGTGGCAAGCTCCAGGCTTGCAGACCAAGGAGCTGGGTCAGGTCCAGTCCTTTCTAATGTCCTGAGCCCTTTCTTCCTGCCGGGATCTCCTGCCTGCCTCTGCTTGGCCACTGCTCTCGGCTGAGGGGCAGAGATTAAAAGCATGGACTGTGGTGTCAGAAGTGTCTGGGTCCTGGTCTAATCTATCCTTGCCTGTGGGACTGCTGTGTGCTGTTGGCAAGCAACTCTACCTCTGTGTCTCAACATGAAATTTGGTTTCATGGGGCTGTGTTGAGGATCCACGTAAAGTGTGCAACACTGCACCTGGCACAGGGTCAGCTCAGAATAAATGGAAGCCCTCGCCATTCCTGCTCCGAACAAACTGGTCTTTTCCTCTGTTCTTCAAATGCACCTTTCCGCCCCATAGCTTTTGCAGAGGCAGGAGTCTTCCAAGAACACTCTGTCCTTCCCCACACTTTTATCTGGTCAAAGCTTATGATTTTCATATTGTGATTCAGATGCCCACTTCTTCCCGGAAGCCTTCCCTGACCAGTCAGTCGTCTGATCTGAGCTCTCCCAGCTGCCTGCCCTTCCCTTCACAACACTCATTGCAGTAACAATTTATTTGCAAGTCCACATAATTAACACCCACGAGACTGCAAACTCTGTAACAAGGGAGGGTGGGACCGCATCTGTTTGTGCTCCCCCACCAGACCCCTTGGGCTTAGCACAGTCCAACTCAATCCATATCTGCCCATGGAAGAAACGGGCAGGACCTGCACACGAGGCCTTCAGGTAGGGCTGGAACAAGGTCGCTGTGTCTGATCCCTCCCGGGCCGCCTGTGTGTTTGGGGAGCGGGAGGCTTGGACAATGGGCGTTTGTGCGAGGTAAGCAGGTGCGCGGGAAGGCCGGGCGTCATCCCCTCCGTCAGCACCCGCCCCCCGCCCCGTCATTAGGCAGGGCCTGCTCAGCGGGGTATGCCATTATGTCTCCCCGGGCTGATGTAATTATACATTGACATAATTAACCCAGCAAGCGCATTAGGCAGGCCAGCTAAAAATTCATCTATAATTATTTGTTGTGTGCATGCTAATGAGTCCATCTGCACTGCCTTTGTACAACACGGACAAATTAATTTACAAGTCTGGATTTTTTAATAAGTTCAAGGAAATGCTTCCTATTGTGTCCTGGTTTTTGAGAAAGGGAGAAAAAGGCGACGAGCGCTTGCTGGGGTCAGGGGCGTTAGATCAACAGGGAGGGCTCGCTCGGGGCCAGCAGGGGGGCAGGGTCCTGTGCGGCTGGGGGGGCCGGCTAGTGAGTCCAAGTCGCAGATTGCACTCTGGTGACAGGGGATGTCGTTCACCCCGGCACAGGGATCGGCATTGACGCTTCTTTCTGCTTGGAGGCCCTGCCTGTCACTGTTTCCCGCCTTGCTCGGCCCCCGGGAGGCCGACGCCGGGGAGGCCAACTTGGCAGCCTCCAGCCTCTGGCCAGACGGGCAGGGCAGGGCTGGGCAGACACTCTGTAAGCCTCAGGGGCCTTCAAGGCTCTGACTTTTCATCTCCTCTGCACTCTGGGGTAGAGCTCCCAGAAGCTGAAGTCTGGCTTAGGGCGCAAATCCCTTGGGGCCTTGAACCTGTTTCCCCCCTTATAAAGCAGGAAAACACCACAGTTCCTACTGTGGAGTTACGGGGAAGATCAAGAGAAGGCCAACAGGCAGTGTGGTTGACGGGTGTCAGCTTCAACTCCAAGTTGGGCGCGGGACCTCTCCGGCAGTTGGCTGAGTCCTTGGGGCCTCATTTCCTCCGGTGAAGTGGGGCCACATGTGGGTGATTGCAAGGCCGGGAGAGAGAACATCTGTGCAGTGAGGTGCACAGTAGGTGTTGCTAAGTGTCTGGTGGCTGTCTCCCCTTGGGGGGCTTTCTGGGAGCTGTTGTCTGCAGGAGGCTGCCCGGTGGAGACAAGACATAGCCCCCCACCATTCAGCTAGCTCGATGTGTCCAGCACGCCCACCCCAGAGCACAGATGGGGAAAGTGGGTCCTCTGACTTGCCTGCAGTCTGCTGGCGGCAGGGCTGTGACAGGGCCTTGGGTTTCTTCTCACACCATGCTGCCTCCTGGCTCCCCAGTTTGAAGGAGAGAGTGGGGGGGGCAGTTTCAGATGACTCAGCCCAAGTCAGGATGCATTTGGATCCTAACAGCTCAAGCACTTTGAAAGGGTTAGAATTCAGTTTTTACCACAACACTCTGAGCTCGGAATGCTTGTGGCCCCACTTTACAGACAGGGAAACTGAGGTGGGACATGCAGTCACTTCCCCAAGAGGAGGGAGTGAGAGCCGGCTGGCATCCGGCAGGCTGCCCCTCTGCCCCCCATACCTGGCTAGGGAACTGGAGTTCCTCAAGGGTCCCTGATGGTTCTTAATGGGGGGCACACACAGAACCCCTGGGACGCACATCAAACACTACAGCCTTAGTCCTAAAGATTCTCTGGCAGAGGTCTGAGGGCCAATACGTCTTTAAGGGAAGCAAATGGGGATTCCTCAGGGCGCAGACCTTCTCCCCGTTTCTCCTGAGGTCTCCACTTCCCCTACTGGCCAGACAGCATGTGTGGTTCTGATTCCCTCTCAGCTTCCAAGAGGGCTGTCAGTCCAGATGTCCCACCCTACACTGGCAAGGAGGGCCCGGGACTCAGCCTGGCCAAGAGGACACTCTGCCCTGAGATATGACTCCAGAGTGGATATCACGGTCCCTCCGTCCAGCTGTCTGCTGGCCTGGTGCTGCCCATGCCAATTCTCACCACTCTTCCCCACCCTTGGCCTTCTAGTAAGTTCCTTTCCTGCTTCATAATGTTGCCAGTCAGCATCTGCCCCTTGGACATGCAAGAACCTTGATGGATATACTTGCTGAGCTGGTTTTGACAGAGGCAGAACGAGGTAGGTTCGACATTGTAATGTCCCTGAGACCGAGAGGTGGGGGCAACTGAGATAGATTAACTCGAGGCATCAATTAAAAGCCAATCCCTTATTGAGAAGACACCAAAAAAGAGATACACAAAAGATAAGAACAGGTAACAACTGGGCTGTGCTGAGAGTACTTCCCGAAATTAACATTAACAGTGGTGCTGATACCATGCTTCTGGAAAGTGGCATAAACACAGGCGTCAAATTTAAGCCACCTGCCATGCTCTGGATCCCAAGCCTTGGCCCTTCTCTAGGTTTTGGTGACAGCTGCCAGGACGGTGCTCTGCCGTCCTGCGGCTGCCAGGAACGCCCCAGCCTGGTCCTGCTCGCTGTCACCCGAGCCAAGAGCTTTGTAGCCTTTCCCCCTAACTGAATTACACATGCTCATACCGTTGCAGTGTGGACACCCCCTCCCCAACAGATTCCTATTTTGGTAACATGCATAGTCGCAACTAAAACCTTTCCACTCTGGTAAAAGTTAGCAGTTTTGGCTCTGAACCTGAAACAACACAAGAAGCCACTGGTCCAATAGGTTAATTCCAAGGCTGGTAAAAATTGGGCCACAGAATAAAAGGGTGGAGGGAAACAAATGCTTAGGGTGGGCGAGGGGTTCAGGCCCACCCAGGCCTCTCCTGGCAATGGCATGGGCCGGAGGTGAAGGAAACGCACACAGCTTGGTGTGGCTGGAGCGGGATGGATGAACCCCATAGCCTGCTGCAGGGAAGGGAGGCGGGGAGAGGCTTGGGTGGTCTGTCTCATTTGGGGACACACAGTCATCACTCAGTAAATGTCTCATCAATCACCGAGGCTACGAGGTAGGTGCACAGGACCAGAGGCCTCTGGGAGCTGCAGAAGGAGAAAGCTTGACCTGAGCAGAGTTTGGTGGAAGTGAGAGCAGGTGGGAGGAGGTGAGGCAGGGCAGGATGCTGTGGGCAGAGCAATCTGGGTTCGAATCTACCTCTGCCAGTTGCCTGGGGTCTGGAGTGAAGCATTTCAACCCTACGAGCCTCAGTTCTCCTTTCTGTAAAATGGAGCCAGCAGCAATTACCAAAGCTACTGTTGAGATGTGAACAAACAAGTTTT